CCGACAAAATATTTTAATGATTAAAGACCAGATAAAAACTGTTTACTGTTTAATGTTGTGGCAATTAATTAAATATTCTGTTGAAACAAGCTCAAGTACTAGGAATACAAAGATGTAAATAAGTTGATGGTTATTGAAACAAGCTTAGATACTGCGAATATAACTATTTGAATATGTAAACCATATTCCCAGGCCGAAGCAACTTCCTAGGCACCAGTAGTCTGTGCACCGAGTGCTAGGTACATCCACCCCTCCACCAAACGAGGTTGATGAATGCCAGACCAGTTCGGAGCAGGGAGCAGGGGAGCAGTGGAGCAGGGAGCAGCGTGGGGAGTATCGGAGAAGGGGCTCCAAGGTGACGGTGCAGGAAGCCGCTGCGAGAAGCACCCAGAATGCCATGGCCAATGCCATCGAGGCGCAGTGTCAGTGTCAATGCCAGCACACCCGACCTGCACTGAAACTGGGTGAGAGTGTGGGAGGGGAACCAGCGTGCTGGAGAACCAGAGAACCAGAGAACTAGAGAATCGTAGATGGTAGAAGGTGGGAACGGGAGACCCGGGAATCGGAGGAGCGGAGAGAAACCACCTCGGCGATGTGGAATGCAACAAAAGCTAGAGGCACGACTCCGACGACCATCGCGTCGGCTGGCGACTGGAGAGGCCATTAGCCGGAGCGATAGGCTCCTGGCTTTGGGAGTTCCAGGGGAGAAGATTCCCAGCCAGAGAGAGCTCTACGGTAACTCTCCCTCAATTGCCACATATCAAATTCACTGCTTTTCTCTAGTGACGACGCCTGCGCTCAACGTTCTGCGTTTTGTTGGGAATCGCTGGTGCTGTGCAATTGCAATGAACGCGGAGTTTCCGAGATGCACTATCTGGGGTACAAATGATGGATAAGATTTGGAGCCAGCAAAGTGCACAGAAATGGCAAGAAAATATGAACATGCAGTTTTATTACTTTTTCCCCTTTATATTAAATTAGAAGTTTGCTTCGAATTAAAGTTGCGATCTAAACTAGATCTTTACCAAGCTGTTAGCACTATTTACTTCATGGCTTACTTCACTATTCTCTATAGAAGAAGCACTACAACTATTGCCAGAAAATGCAGTGCATATACCCTAAGAGTAGCACAAATTCCAGCATACTAAACTGAGCTTCGCGTCCATCAAATGTCGATACGATAGCGCCCTTGAACACATGTCCCTGATGGATCGGAACTGAAAGATTGCCGCACCGAAAAATTGGGTGAGGTACTGGGGCGCAGAGAGAGTGACCAAACAATGTCCAAAGCCCGTGTTTTGCCAATTAGTCTGATGGGAAAGTTAGCATTGCATTCCAAAGTGACTGGTGGAGCAGAAGACGAAGGGAAACCGATGCGATTGGCTTGCCGCTCGATGATTGAAAACTTACCCACAAATTATGCGCTAGCGAAAAACGTGTTTGGCTCACAGAACTGGGGACTTAGAACTGGGATTGGGAGCCGCACTCAACGTTCGTCGACCTTGCCAACGAGTTGCACATTACGCTTATATATATTTTTGTGTTTTTCCAGCGATAGGTAAACCAAGCCCCATTGGTAATGTGAAAAGCAGCACTGGATGGTCGATGGCAATATACTTTGTTCAGATAGCATCGTCGCCGGTCGGCTGGTTGGTCATTGAACCGCCAGCCGGACAAGTACTTTTTATTTAACCCCCAGAAACCGGAGGCGGAAGGCTGCAATGCCCAAAATACATATCCTGGTGCCATAAGTCGCAGTAGATTTCCCTTTCTGCCACTGTCTGGCCTCTGTGTTGCCAAAGCCTCGGTACAGTTTGCCCCTGCGTTGGCCACATTTCTGCTGGCGGCCTGGCTCTGATTTTCAACTCCAGTCCCCGACCTCGTACTCTGAGTACAACTCCAGTTTCTGCTGATGCTCCACTACCCCAAAGCTTGCAAAAGGGAATATAACTCACAGTCGTTATGTTGCTGCTGTGGAGCTGCTCTGTACTGTCTTTCTAGCTCGAAAGCAAATTCTTGAAGGTCCTCTGATTTTATAGACCAGCAGCGCCATCTGGGGTTCAAAATTATGTGCTGCCTACTTTTGTGCTGACAGTCACATTACGAACGAATAAATACAATTAATGTACGAACTATTTAAATTTAATTTAAATTTAATAATTTAAATGACATAAAATAGTATCAGTTAATCAACGTTGCTGCTGAAAATGCTAAACTTCCTTAAAACTCCAAAACTAAAAAACCCCAGACGATGAGTTGCAGTCCACAGCTGCTGTCCTGCAAAAAAGTAGATGGGTGGAAAAGAGAAAGGACATAGAGCTAGAGTGAGATTGAGAGAGGGAGAGAGAGCGAAAAAACCGAAAAAGCATTTCGTCGTTTTTAGCTGGCACGAACAGATCAATGACCTGCATTTCACAGCCGGAGACACAATTCAATCGATAAAAGTGAAGAGTTGGGGCACCAGCTCACACAGACGCCGCGCACACACACACACACACGCACACAGCAACGCACTGCATACACACACTGACACAGCGAGGAAAAAACAACATGGCGAACGTGAAATATGCAAGCTTCCTGCAGGAAAAGCCAAAATGGCAGACAGCATGCGGCGAACGTGACGCAGTGGAGAATGTTTGATGGGAGCGGGGATAAAATGCGGCTCGAAATGGGGGTAGTGGGTGGTGGAGTGTGGGTGGTGGGATGTGGAGTCCTGATGGGGTCAGGGGTGGAGGTGGAGGCGGCGCTCTAGGGGTGGATGCAGCCGCAATGGAACTTTCTAAATTTTCTAGAACATCAGCAAACAGGAAGAGCGAAAAATGTGGAGCGAGAGTGAAGCTCGAATATGTTGTTCCATTCAATCAAATCGAGGAAGCCGCGGGCCAAAGGGCTGATTAAAAATTGATCAAAATGGGTGAGGGGGGCAAACAACACTACTCTGGCCAAGATCCAGTCGAGTTCCCAGACAGACAGAGCTTGACGTGGCTACGAAATGAAAAGGGGGGTCACTGTCGAGTGCATTGTAGCGTTGAATAAAATAACAACAAACATATTCATATTAGCAACAACCCCACAACAAACACACAATCTATTGCCGGTTGTCTGAGCCACGGTCCTTAAACACCCCCGAAATCCCCACATTTCCCCCCAGCAAACTGACCAAAATGTAGACAAAGGTAATGCACAAAAGTTTTTGTCAACTTTTGTGGGGTTTCAACGTGGAACTTACCTCCTGTCTGAAGAATTTTCGGGGTTGATGCCGGCAAAACGGGAAATTAATGATATTCCTCAAAACGCACTTGACTTGTCGCGCCTTTTGATTTCTCTGATTTTCGCAATCTGGAACAGGGCAATGTCAAGGGTTGGAAAGGGATAAATGGCTCATTTTATATTTGAAAGCGATTTCACTTACCGCAAACATATTTATTTTCTACACAAAAAAATCAGTAGCTGTTCATCGGATCGTAGCCATAGAAAATAGACAAGCATATTACCAAAAGAATGCATATTAAATAAAAAATAAGAAATCCAAAGGTGATGTAAAAGCAGACAGCTAAGAGTATCAACATTTTTTATAAAAACTATGTAATTTGCATTTTTTAATCACTCCGGTTTCCGCCAAAGGGAATACATTTGAATTTATTTACAGCAAGACATTTGATTTTTTTCATTTTTATTCTGACATTTGATGAGTGCTAATCGATATCGATGTGCTTAATTGATTAAAATTAATATGGGGTATTCAAGAAATCTATTGTAAAATTAGTTGATACATATATTTGTATACCATTTGGCTATACAAATTATGTTGCTTAGTCCAAAATTTCATATAGTTAGTTTAATTAGTTTCCCAAACCAATTCAAATTATAAAATACGATGGGAAGATAACATTTTCTTCTTATTTAGAAGACGTGTTATAAATAAAGTGATTAGGAATAGAAGAAACTTATACTCAGCATAAAAATTATATTGCTATCTCAAAATTGTAATGAAAACAACGAAGATATCGAGTGTGTCTTTGTAAAAATGAAGAAAGTTCCTAGAACATTGTTGTCTTTGTAATTGATGGTCGAATAGTGGTGCCGTTGTCGAATATTCATCATACCACCCGTGGACCCAGAAGGAATGTAAGTCAATTAGCATTACTAACACACTCCCACGCCACACTTTTTTCGGTATCTGCAGTTGTTGTTGCTTCTGATGTTGCTTCTCGAGTTGCGCTCTGAAATGAAAACTGCAGCGAAAGTCTGGGCATGGAAAAAAGCGAAATTTTTTGCAGTCGTCCCGAAAAGTGCAGTCCTGCAAAATTGGAGTCATCCAGCCAGGATGGCTCTCTGTCTATCTCTCTTGTTCGTTCTCTCTCTCTCTCTCTCTCTCTCTCTGCCAGGACTCTGCTTTCTCTCCACTGCCACTCCATCCTAGTCGCTCCATCTCTGTCACTTGCAGACACAGACAGTTGGAGTTTGGGAATCGCAAAGGGAGCTCTGTTCGGATTTGGGGAGTTGTGCCGTAGTTTGGGCTTCTACTGTCTGGGCAACTCCCTGCCCCAAACCCGAAAACTTGGCTTCAAACTCGAATGCGCAGAGTTGTCATGACAACCAACCGATATTCCGGAGTCCAGACTGGGTGTTGCGAAAACCGGGCCCTGAAAATACGAGCAAAGTATCCAACTTCTCCCCCGAAGCGCAATGGGTCAGTGTACAATTATTTTGTCAAATAAAAAATCAGCAGAGAGTAGGTTGCGGTGGGAGTTATAGGCGATAAGGACTGGAGTGGCTAACCGAAATGGAATTTATTACTGAACTTTTTATGTACAATCGCGTTTTTAAGTGGTCTGGAAATTTATGTATCTAATGTTTTCCAATAGCGAATTATATTACTAATAGCCTATATGAATAAGGCTTAAATATTTTTCATACATTTTAAAGCTTGTTGGGAATATATAATTAAATACTGCCTAAAGATACTTTTCACAGTTTTATGCATCCACTCAACTCATCTGATTCAAATTTATTTATTTTTTTATGGGCCTTCTTGATTGGTTCCTTTGGACTGAATACCTAAAATTTCTTTACAACTCCACAACATACGTGTTTTCAACATTTTAGAAGTGCCCAGTAAAAGTTGTATGAATAAGAACAATTTGGTTTCCCGTTTATTGGATCTGCTGTCCTCGCGCTGTTAATATTCCCAAGTATCCATCGCCCATGTAGACTTGGGGCTCACCGGGACCAGTTCCATCTGGATTGGTCTTCCAACTGATCGTGAAGCAGGGCTCCCCTGCCTGGAGATCCTTCGACGGTAATGTGATCCGGTAATTCTCGGCATTTTCAGCTCCTACATTATGTTTAATGAAGATAACCGGTTGTTGAACTGCAGGCGGTTGTTGATGCGTTGCTGGTTGTTGAGCTGGATTCACTGGAAAATATGAAAGATACAGCTTATCTCACTTTATATTCCCTTCGCTGATGAAAGTGTTTTGATAACCCTTAACAGGCACTTAAAAGAACATAAAAACATAGGCAGCTTTTAAATAGCACGGCGATTACAAAGTCGGCTTACATGGTTGGCTCCACGCGCAGGCAATCAGCAGCGGATACAAAGCCAGAAGCTTGTGCAACGCCTCTGATTTCATAATTTATTTATATGCGTTCTATGTGGAAATATAAACAAATACTGTTGTTGTCTGGCTTCCTATACTAGATGCAGCAGTTCCAATTATCTTTTGATGACGACGACGTCCTCACTCCCAGCAGTCTGAGCTTATACTGTTCGATCGTCGGAGCAACTCGGGAGTATTGGGATTCATCCCGCCGTCTTTGCTCCCCGTCTCATTCTACCTGGTATTCACCGAGTCTACTTATCAATTTTTCCGAATGAACAAGATCTATTTGTAAACAAAGCTGAGCGCTGTAGCATCGATCGATTGAGAATCTGGAGCTGATAGTCGCATTTAATCTGGCTGAGAACAAAGCAAAAATCTTTGTACTGGCCATTATGGTATCAGCAAAAAAAAGATAATTTTATAAGGTGCAATGCTTAAACATTAACATATTAAGTTCGCTGATCAAAACTAAATTTAAATTGGATTTGTTTTACACTATCGCAGTATTTCTGTAATTCTTTGTTTTTATGATTTAAAATATGTAACTGTTGGATTTAACAGTTTTCGCTTACATTAAGTTAACAGTGACCTGCTTGATGTACTGCTTGTGCGAAACAGTTTACTGCTTTGTTGGCACGAAGCACACTGCTTGTAGGACAAGAAACTCATGTAAAGCAGTACAAAACCAGTTCAAACGGAAACTAAACATAATTTCACTAAACATTTATTTCTATAATATTCTAGTTTAAAACGTGAAAATATTACACGCAATAGAGAAAGTTTGAAACACATTTATTTTGTCTTTTTATTTAGTATTTCCTTAGCTTACGGAGAAAAACATGAAACACATTTTCCAATTAAATTACAAAAAACTAAACAAACAAGCTTAGCAAAAAATCTAAGTGTCTTTTATAGTGAAATCTTAGAGCAACAATTATTATTCAGTTAGCTTGATTAACGCGTTTAATTTAAAGTATTGCTAACAATAACATACGATTATCAAATTTAATTGAAAGCCGCTCAATACGCCTTGACTTAAACTTAATTATAAATAACAATTTGTGTCATTTTCATGTATTGTTTTAATGTATTTTACAAATGTAGCTTTATAATGCTTACGTTTACTTCTCTTCTGTTAAAAGAATATTGCAAATTATTTATATTTGTAGGTTGGTGTTCCAGGGTTTTTTTTCTAGATAATTCTTTCCAAAATGCACGGGACTGGGGCGGGGCTTAAGGGCACTTGGGGGGAGGTATATAGAAACTCAAATACTTTTGGGGACTTTCAATCCGAATTAAATACTCTTGCCTTGCCCGTGGACGGAAACCGTTGCTTACGAAACAGAACTTTGGCCTCGGCCGATTGAATTTAATGCATCCTTCTTGTTGGAAGACAAATGAAAAGAATTCTCAATTTTCGGTTGGAAACTAGTAATTAATTAATGAGGGACAACTACATATTTCCCATCCTAACATTTCTTTGTGTCGTTTTCGCTACTGTACACAGTCTTTGTATATATTTTTGTTTTCCTTTTTTTTTCGTTTGCTGCTTGTTGAAGGGCTTAATTCTAGTTGGTTGAAACCATCTTACACCTCGGTGCTGTGCGTCTGAATTCGGACTTTCTTCACGCTTCCGTTGCGCCGCATGGGTGGCGAACTTCCGGATCCGGAATAGCCGGGATTTTGAATGCCTAACGTTGGATCCGGCCGGGGTCTCGGCTTCTTCAGACTCGATCGCAGTGGCGACCGCGTCACCGAATCGAGGGTGGACCCATTGGAGACGCTGGTCACGGTGGTGCTCATGGAGGCCACACTGCCCGCCGTTCCCGCTCCATTCCGGATTCCGCTGTAGGGCTTTCCGGATGCGTCCGTCACCGAGACGCCGTTGCGACTGCGCGGCTCCTTGAAGCCCGGATTGTTGAACGTGGTGGCACTGCCCGGAGATGACGCATCCAGCGCCATTGTGGGATCTCCGCCGGGGCTGCGCGAGTAGATCACATCGTACAGGGCGGCCACGAACAGAGAAATGGTCAAAACAATCACCACAATCTGGAAAATTAAATGCAAGACGTTACTGTATGGATAATAGTAGATGTAATGGTATAAAAGAGCGAATTGCATATCACAGTTCGTACTTTTAATACCAGCTTTATGTGTCTTTAATGAATATGAACGTTATACGAAACCAGGCTAATATTCTTATAATCAAAACATATTTTACTGAATCATCGGTATTTAGGTATTTAAGTTCGCCTAATCACTGTTCCAACAACTCCATGAGCAATTGAGCATTAATCACCTGTATATAGAAGGAAATGCCCCGCGATATCTTGAAGCCATAGCGCTCCTGCTCATCAATTTGCAGAGCAAACAAAACCGTCGCTATGATGGCCAGAACACCTGGAAATATATATAAATTAAATAACGTTTCATTATCGTTCTGAGCCAAGCCCATCTGCACTCACCTCCCAGCAATGCCAGCATTAACTTCACTATCACTAGAGTTGTGTAGGGCATAACCACCTTCTCCCTGGATGAGATCATCGCGTGTTGAATGACCGACAGAATGCAGAAGATGCCCAGCACAGCTGAGCTGCCAATGGCCAGGAGTCCACTGACGAAAACTGCATCTAAAAGAGAAAAGTATGAATTATTTCCATATTTCAAAAATATTTGTATTGCACTTTATACAACGATTAGTATGATTAGATTCTACTACCCTTTGCATGGCATGATTGAAATAGTTTTTAAGCCCATCTGATAATACATAGAACAGCCATTTGAAGCGGCTTAGAATACTTACTGCTTAACCTAAACTTAGACACGTCGTTGCCGCATTTCTCGCGATTATACGTCAATTGCTTGCAGACCTTAAACGGTCCGAAATAACCGCGATCAAAGTCATAGCCGCCTGTTAATTTAGAAAAATAATTAGATTAACAAAATTAACGCGTAAATTCAGTGGGCACTCACCCGATGGACTATCGTAGTAACCCCAAATGGGTATGCCAATGGCCACAGATGCCAAGGCGAAGCAAACAAAGCCCAGACAGGTCACCCCAGCAGCATAAAGTGTCGACTTTGCCATGTTTTACTGTACAGCATAACGATAACAATGCACTTGAGATCCAACGAGCTGGAAAAAAAGAACAAACGTAAGCATTCTATTACAGACACTTGTTTAAATAATCATTCTGCCAAATTGTGTCAAATGTCTATTGACTTTGAGCCACATTTGCAAAGCCAAAGGAGAAAAAATGTCATTGTCAAGCGCATCTGAAATGCGAACACGACTAAGTAGCTAAGCTGTTCCCCGAAAATCTCTTTACATGCATTAGCAAATGTACTTATGGAGGAACCACCCACATGTCATATACCCAGCTAGAAACACACCCATCCGAGCACTTTGTCTCCTCACGAACAATTAGATCCCATTCATACATAAAGAGCTACTTGCCGCTGACCTTGAGATTGCATAAAAAGGCCAAGAAAAAATAATGCTTACGCAGAGAAATATCTATCTTTGTGTAGGTCGCACTCGTTTCAGTGTCTGTATCCAAAAGATACACACAAGCTCTCGATTGGGTTTTTCTCAGTTTGCTGGTTTTCTGTAAGCCGATTTCAGCAGCAAACCAAATTCCTCTTACATGTGATTAAAATGCTTTTATACATTTTTTCTCGAGTATCTATATCTATCCCGAAAGACATGTTCAGCACGAGAAATGCCAGTTATTTTTTGACAGCTTCCAGCTAATTGATGAGCTATTAAAGGCGTGTGCAAAAATAGCATTTAAATGAAAATTGGTCTAATGATATAAACAGGGCGGATACTTTTTAATAACTCAACGTTTAGGTAATTTGCAATGGGATACTTTAAATTGTTGGTGACTGGGCTAGCGAAATTACGTTAGAAAAACAATTAATAAAGAATCCATTAAAAAATCACATGCTATTAGATAAATTAATTAATTTAAACACAGAAGCTATTGTTAATAAGTTAATATGTTGCTTAAGTCCCTTGTCCAGACCTACTTTACAATCATCATTTGTCACTTGGAATCTTTTCCAAGCATCTACTGAAGATCTAGACGGTGAATGTCTTCTAGCTTCATGCTAATAAACTTAGCAACCTTCTCAATGAGCCACTCAAAACCCCACTTCCCTCGTAATGGCATAAATAGTATCACTTGCAAGTAAGTCGAGAGTCCTTCATGACGGCAAGAGATCGCAGCGCGCTTTGAAATGCCAGAAAACAGAAACTGGAGACACCCGCTGCCCAAGAAATCCAAATGAATCCGAGCTGAGGTTGCCTCACCTAAGCAACTGAGCAACTGGGCAACTGAATTGGAGTAGAGACTCCGATTTTGACGATCTTTGCCAGACACTGTGTGTTGCTCTTAGCGGTAAATGCAGCAAGGCGAATCTGAAGGAGGGGAATGTGTGCCGCCCGTCTTAAGTTACCCCAGCGAATGCCGCGAATGGTTCTGCTGCTTGGCTCGAAAGTTGGCCAAGAGGATGGCTGACTTTGCTCGCCGAATCGGAACGAAGATTTCGAAAAGCCGCAAAGAATGGTTCTTCGCTGCTGGGGAATTCGGCAAATCCCATGCAATAATAACTTTATTTTACTTCTAACTTTAAAAGTACCTCTTTTGTGTATAGCAAGAAAGGATTGTAGAAAATGTAGATATTTTCACTTGAAATAAACGTATGATAGATAGTATTACCACTAATATACATTGAAATATCTCTTTTTGGCTCTAGTTACCAGTATTCTCCCAAGTTCTATCTTATCTTCCTAATTCATTCTGCAAGTTTGTTGCGGGACTAACAAATGGCAGCTAACCTCAAGATGCAATCTTAGACCGAAGCCCGGCTAAAGGCAAATCAAAAGGCAAAGCCAGGGCAAGTCAAAGTCAATGGAATGAACTTTTCTCAATTGTGTCACGATCTTCAACTTGCATAAATTTCCCGTTGGTACAATCCCATCCATTTGCCTTCCGATCGCCCACAAGACTCGTCGCGTGGCTTCTTTTATTCATCCTCGTTTTTGCCTCATCCTCGTTTTGAGGCCATCGCATCGGGAATCGTGTGTAGGTGGTCGAGAAGGTAAAGAAAAGGCCCAAACCGGGGACTGAGTTATAAAGCTCTGGGCCATTTTGATTGCCCGGCTAAGAGCGTGATTCAGAGGTGAGGTGCATATGTTTATATGATTTACACGCCGTGCGTTGGTGTCAGCATAGAATGCACAGTATCTTTCGAAACCACAACTAACTAGCATGAAATTTGTGAATTTATTATTAGTAAACCCCTATGAAAATATCAGGTAATGCCTGAAAAACCACATTGATTTATACACTGAAATATAGTCTAAGGAATAGATGTGTATTCGAGTTTATTGTCAGTGGGATGACAAAAGGCGGAAACTTAGAAATAAATAGTGCAATTTGATATAACGTGTTAATAATAATAAGCTTGCAGCAAATGGAGAATTCTTTAAGAACATGGGGCTGCCGCTTTGAGTGGAAGATCTGTCGATCTATAAGCATAGAGCCATAACCATGAATCAGAACTGCAATTTTCGAAAATATCTTGGTCAGTTAAGTACCTAGAAAGGTGGTAGATTAAGTTTATCTAACTAAAATCTTTTAATTATAAATTTAATTACAGACAACATAACACTACTACTATTCATGGTAAGCCCCATTCCTATACATATTCATATATTGCATGTATCCACAAATGTGCTACTTTTTATTACAACGACGTTGCGACTAAGGCATTTTGACTAAACACGAAAACAGCACCGTCAAATGACGTGCTTGGAAGTCATTAATCGCGGCTTAGTCACCCCGTTTCGACTTATCTCTGGCACAACTGCAAACTAAAGTTCAATCCGTACTTCCATTAGCATCTCAACCGAGTGAAATCAATTAACTTGGGAAAGGAAATCCAGGCAAATGAAGCAATTTAACGCAGATCACAAAGGAAAAGAAAGGCCGATAACCTTCTGAAAACTGTCCAGACCGAGCCAACCAATCCACTCCAGACCCATTAGCCTCACTCACATAACCGACAAAAGTGCAAATTTATCCAGACTTAGGGCCAACCTGGCGCAACCCAAATAAAAGGGAACTTAGACTAATGAAAAGTCGCTTTTCCGCGGAAATTGGGTCACCAGTGGGAGCGAGTCAGCCGGCCGAGGAACCCAGACAGGAAATTTACTTCAATTTGTCGGCCCAACTGGACGGGGATCGACTCGCAGGTCTGCAAATCAAATGGAAAAACGTGTCGCGGACTCTCTGATGGTGCCTCTCACCTTTCCACCCCCCGACTCACATTTCCCCACCTGCACAGCCCACCTTTCTGCTATTGATTTTCCCTCGAATCGCTGTAGAAATATTGTTTGATTTTAATACCGTGGAATAGGTGGGTTCTATCTTGGGTTCTAAGAATAAAGTTGGGCTTACTTATGCAAAAAATATTCATTGAACACCCAAGCTCACTGCCGCTTATCATTACAACTGAAATAAATCGCTTAGCTAATCTACACTCTAATTTGAATATAATCTAAAAACTAAACTTGTTGAAAGGGATATTCAAAGGTCTGTAGATCAGATACAACGTTAGTTGGCAACGCGAGCGAAGAGTTTTCCCTGTTTTGTTTATGTTTGGGCGCACTTGTTGCCATGGCAAAGTGCAAAACAGGCCACAACAGCTGAGGAAAAGTTTGCGCCGTTGCCTTGGAAAACTGTGTAAAATTGGGCACAGTGGAAATTTAATTTGGCCAGCGGCTCCTCTTTTTTGGGGTAGTAAGTACACTTGGCAAGCCAAAGTCAAGTGAGGTTAGAACTTGTCTTAATTGAGTGACGGAGCAGGCAGCTAACGAAATTTGGGGCTATTTTGGTAAACTCAATTGGGGTTGGCTAAATTAACTTTTCCCAACAGTTAGTGGGATGGAAAAGTAAAGATGTGCATATTGTATGTGTTTCGGTATTTTGTGTTGTACTTCTTATTAATTATATGTTCATTTGGGTCTTTTAAGATACCAGTTATTTGTAACTACTTGACTACCTATTTTATGCCAATTGGGGCATATTCATTTCTCGTCTTAAATAAATTTATGAATAAAGGTAGACAATATTTTTCTTTGCTAAAAGTCAAGCCTCACTTAAAGATTCCAATGGTAAGTTTAGAAATGTCAGTTTATATGCCAGCGGAAGCGAAGAAGAAAGCAAATGTGTAGTTGACTTCCGCTTCATCAGAAGATCTAAAAGCTATTTAAGAAACTCCACTTTCTGGGATGAAAACTGATTCCCAGACTCCAGCGCACAAAAAGCCAACATGTTCGAATGCCATTTGTAACTTGGAGATAGAAAAAGAGAAATAGGTAGTGCGGATGGACTTGGAAATGGGTCAAACATGCTTTAAGAAATGGAAATATGTTGGCTCAGGCGGTTTTCATCTCAGTTGTCATCGCTCCAGGTTGCTGGCTTTATAATTGCCGTTCTTGTTTGATTTGTGGTTAACACATTTGACTTCGGGCTACCAACGGAAGCTCCCGTTTGCTGTCTCCATCTGGATCCCTATTTCCCAGTCGGTTTGTGGAAGATTTTCACGTTTCGGTGAATTGTGAAAAACTTTTACTTTGTTGCCGCTTCTTTAAACACTTCATTTCGTCTTCTTTTTTTTGGGGTGAAAGTTTTTGTCTAACAAAAACCCTATACGCTATCTATGTATCTATAAGGTGCGATCTCTTTCGGTCGCACTCAAGCACAAGTAGTTCAGTAAACTGTCAGCGTTTTTCTGCTTCTTTTCTATACTTTTCAGTTAGTATTTATCTATCGTTATGACAAGCGTGCAGCATGTTGCAAGTGCGACAAGTTGTGCAAACAACAATCAAACTGCCAACGCCCTCAGAAAGTTGCTAGCCATCCCTTACACTGAAAAATAACTAGACATTCGGATCGTTACAGTAACGAAATAAATGAAATCCTTTCTATCTGCGAGACATAACCAATCATCATCCATTTACACCACGTAATTATAACCTTAACTTAATGTACATATTCAATTCTAAATATGGTAGTAAATTAATTTTGGTCTTGTGTAGCCAGCCCACAAAATCCTCCCGTTTCCCAACCGCTTTTCATATGTGTGTCAGGCAGGCATTGTCATTAGGCAGAGGGAAGGAAAAGCGGGAAAGCGGGAAAGCGTCTCTGGTTCCAACACTGAGAACAATTTGCTCTGTGGCCAGCTGTTGGTGCCCCACTTTTCGCCCATCGTTTCCAACATCCCAGCCCCCATCATATTTGAATGCCCCCGCCCATGTCTTCGTTGTTATGTTGCTGCATAGGCAAAATCGTTATTTACATACATGTGCTGCATTTTACATGAAACGGTTAACCATCTTTCCATCTTGGCCGTGTCAACAATTAAGCATAATTGCTGTGAGGCAGGCAACAAAGGGGGTGGGCAGCGACGCGGGGCAGGGGGGCATTGCTTGGGGCATGTTTAGTTAGGTCTTAGGTTTAGGTCTCAGTTCTGGGTAAGCCCGAATGTTCAGTGTCTAAACAACCAAGTTACAACGTTTTACGCCTTAACTCAACTCAGTAACAAGTCAAGTGAGTCAGGTTTCAAAAAACACAATTCATAATACCTTTGCATATTCACATACGACCTAATTTGAAATTCAATGCCTATATGTATAGTAAAGGGTTTTAGATTTAACTCCATAAATTCTACTCCGTGCGATGCCTTACGAAAAACTCTAATGTTGGATCCTTTCTTGCTCATGTAACACATATACAATAAATTAGTACAGGAATAATACACATTTCCGTAAGCTTGTTGTGCTTTATAAACAATATCTTATACATATATTATAAAGAGCAATTACGGCACTCCACTCCCATTTGAAAGTCTTTACTTCCATGGTAACACATTTGAGCTGCTTGAACTGCCACCCAAGGCGATACTAGCACGTTCTGTATAATGGTGATGGCCCATTGTCGTCTATTCATTTAATTTGCGTGTGCTAATTTCTCGCATGATACGGCAAAAGTCACACGAAGAGTCAACAGAACCGAACAGATTGAGGAGCAGAGGTCCAGGGGCTGGGACCGGGGATATGCCTCGGTCGATTCAATAAAGTCATTAGCTAAAGTAGCCAATGCATCGGGGACGTTCGCCGGTCCAAGATGATAGTAGAATGGAGCGGCTTGCGGCTCAGTGAATTGGCAAATGGAAAGTGCAACCAGCCAGCGGCTGATGCTGCTGCACTTGGAAAAAGCCAGGCTGGTACCAAGTGATAGGGAAAATATTAATGAACCTCCTTCATGAACATATTATCAGAGATTCTATGGTGTCCAGGTGTAACAGGGTTTTCCGGCACACTGAAAAATATTGTGTGCTTTATGATTACTGTTTATAATAAATCAGATGCTGTGACTCTTTTGAACACAGAATAGCTTTTAATTGCGAAATGCTATTTACAGAAGTTTTAATTTAAATTAAATTAAATCTGTAATTAGTAAAGTTGAACTGCTCAACATATTTTTCTCAGTGCGCTGTGGCCGCAACTCACTCTGTTCTGCTGCTGATGTTGCAAGAACGACTGATGTGCATGTGTGTGCGCATTGTTAATGGCTGCCGCTGTCAGTTAATAATTCTGCGTGCCGCTCACACGCCCCAAGGCGTTGCCAACTAGCTAACTAACTAGCCAACTCCCAAAGATGGCCCGTTATCTGGCTGGAGGGCGATTTATAGCCCAGAAAAGGCGGAAGCCATGGGATTTATGTGGATAGTGAAAAATTCGAGGAGGTTCCCAAGAAGTAATTGCCATTTATTTCGCCTAATTCGGCCGAAAGCCAAGCCGCTGGCTAAAACTGAACAACCCGAAAGTATTATTTAGTGGTTAGCGTATTTGCTCTCTTCCTAACATTATTACAATATTAGAAGCATATGTTAAAGAAAAGGAAAGAAAGAGGGGAAAATTATTGATAAATTTTGAGTGATTTAGCGACATATACTAAAATAATATCGGATATGATCTACAGTGTCCGTAACTTATTAGATTATGAAAAACTATTTCTAGAGCTTTGGTAGTTCTTTTAAATATATATTAGTTGTGTTCACTAAACACACCTTCCGTTTATTTATCCGCTTCAATTTACTTTAGACCAACACAGACCTTTTTCAGCTTTATCAGATCAATTCGACACTTGCAACTCCACACCAATAAACAAATAAACAGAACAGAACCGAAACGCCTGGTACCATCAACTCCTGAGGCTCCATAAGCTGCTTAGGTGGATGAATGGCCAACTGGCACTCAAGTGTGTCTGGATTTGGTTTTGGGTTTGGGTTTTCTGGGGAAAAGTGCCCAGCGATGCAGTCGATAAATCACGTGCGCTGCTCATCTCAATGGGCGATTGTGATTGCGATTGTGTCAGCCGTGGCAATGCGAAATTGAAATGTTGTTGCCATGGCTCAGACTTTTTGGTGGACTAATTAACTAGACAAATGCTTTGGCCAACTAATTAACAGTCAAAATCACGTCTAAGCGGGCTTCCATAGAGCAGCAGCTGCCATTAAGTGGGGGGAGCAATAAACCTTTAGGTGAGTTAAGGGAGGGCTTTCTAACATAATTAAAGAAAGTTATTTCGCATACAAAGCCAGGGTTGAGAGACGCATAACTGAGCGTGTAAGAGTTATAAAAATAATTCACTGGTAAAGTATTCATAAATATCGCCAAGCATCCCACTCAACAATTGACTACTAGACAAGTTTCCCTCAAGTGCAGATACATCTATACCTCCACGAACTCCCACATCAAAATGGAATTAACATATAGCTAATCAGTCGCAGATATTGTTGAAAAACAAGTTTTCATTGTCTGTAATGAAGGGGCAGCCAAAGGTTAGCGAAAAGAAAAGCCTCTAATGAGGCCGCCGCAAATACTTCAATCGTAACTTGAGAATTTCTAGCTCGATTAAATGGCCATTGAATGGGCATATTTAAAATGTATCTTTCGGTTGAGTCATGCGCGTATTGCTGATCATCTTTTGGCCGCTGCCCTTTTAATGTAATTTAATTTCAGCCTCATTCCAGTTGGCAGCTATTGAACTGGCTGCTGTTGTCTCTTACCCATCGCGCGGCGCTCATTCATTCATTTATTTATGATTGTTTTGTTCAGCACTCGTAGAGATCAAGGGTGTATTGTGTCAATAATGATAATTTACATTATGCAATTTGTTGAAGTCGAATGGAGATACCAAAAATTGTTTCTGGTTTTGGGCTTGAAAACAAATCCCAAATTATTTTTATATTTTGCCAGCAGTTTCAAAGAAAGGCATTTCTTCTTTTGCAATGCTTCTTACTTTGTACAAGACCCACGCGGCGTATACATAATTTGATAACTTTATTATGTAGCAAGACCAGTTTCATTTCATTCGCCCCTTGTGCATAAAAATGCGTTTAAATTAAAAAGAATGAGAATTAAAAAATATAAGACCGCGGCGGGCGCGGTTCAGGTTAACAACCTTGACCGCGAATTTTTATGAAGCAGAAGAGTGGGGAACCTTCTTTCATTGGACTTTTGTCTGAGTGGCATTAAAGCTGAATCGGCAAATGATTCGTGTTCTTGGTAAAGAAAACACTAAAGATATTCATATGAAAAGCGTGCAAATGTGACTGATAACGAACTGCCAAATATTTTAATTATAAAACTTGATTCTCCGCAAATACTTACTTTTAACTTATTTTATGAATCCATTTCAAGTAGAGAAACCTTTATTTTCCTTCTGCTACAAGCCATGGCTCAAGGAGTTTCCCTATCTGAAAGGTGCAACAAATACAAATCAGAGATTAGAATGGAGTCGTTCGCAATCTTTAAAGCAAATGAGTCAGTGGGATTTGTCAGTATTTCATTGGCTCATGTGTGATTCAATATTTGCAGTGGGTATTGGCTATTTACTTTTCAACAAACCAGGTTTAACCAGGCTACTAAGAAAATTACCAATTAGATCAATTAAATAACACGAAGTAATAACAATTTCGCTTACAATCGAGCGCCGCTAATCACTTCCTCTAATTAAAAGATAAGCTTAAAACGCAACTTCACTAACAACCTTTGCATCAATTACTTAAACTCTTATCAAAAACGGGGAAGGGGAAGGGGATCGGCCATCGTGCCTCGAATCGCTGAGTTAAAATTGCACGACAATTACCCCAGAGACCCGGAGCATCGAGCAAGAAAATTTCAACAAAATTTGTATGCCAGTTGCGCAGCAGTGACAGTGGTTAATGGAACCCCCTCGCAACCGTCCGCCCCGCCGCCCCTGTCACTAAAATGCGTGAATCACGTTAGTCGGCGGCGTGACAATGGGTGAAACGCAATCAAAAGTACTTAAAAACCTAACCGAAAGTTGACAGGCATCCAAACGATTCGAAATAGCTTCGCTGATGGCTTTCTAATTTCCTAGTGCGTCTTTTCCTTTGGGCTGGGCAAAAAATAAAAACACTTTAATTAGTGTCTTGCAGTTCACATGAATTATAATTGACCCCCAAACAAAAGCTGAAAACTAGGCGAGCAAATTGTTGTCGTTTTCTGTGTGTTCTTTGTGTGGGTTTTGTGTTATGCAAGTTGAAGCATTTAGTCTTGACCTCTCAAGCATTTTTGATTGAGCAATTGGAAACCACCCAAAAAGAGCTCAAAAAATGTCGTTCAATTTCGGGAAAAAGAGAATTTCGTAATGAAAACTTCATAAAAACAATGAAAATTGATTGGCGCAGATTTATGGGCGTTTTCAATAAAAATCATCGAAATCAAATCAAATTATGCACATTAAATCCATACAAAATGAATTTTATGAAAATTCAAAAAAAATGGTGGTATGTTCTTCGCGTTCTTAACGTTGCATGTTTAGAAATTATAAGGGAAGCATTAAAATTAAATCATCATTACCTAAATGACGTAGAAAACTTACTTCTGATCTACATGCGAGGCATAAAATGATTTAAAAATGAAAACGGAAGTGCACACTATAAATTAGGGTTTCTAGGTTGTAGCAATGTTTTTAAATGTAACATATCTATGTTTTGTATTTCAAGAACTTTAATAAGATATATTTTAAGAAAACATTTTAAGCAGACATAACATGCAACCAGTAAATTAGAAGCGAGTGGGAAATTGAAAATGGTTTTTCCATTTTTGGAATAACTATTTATCCCCCAGATATGTTCAAAACATTAAATCAGTTGTAAAGCGTTGTAGTTGAGCTAGGTTGCCATGTTTTCGAAATGTTCCCTAGCAAAAACCGAATGTTTTGACAGTCTATTAAATTGAGTTAACAATAATTGGGAAAATGTTGAGTGCTGCACTTTCGTTGGCAGCCTCGCCCGGATTAATTGGAACCAAAAGCTTCCGTCTGGCGCAGCTCACTTTTCATCTAATTTCCTGTTCGACAACGCCAAAGGCAGTTTCAATTTCGAATCAATGCAGTGGGTTGTGCCCCTCTCAGCCATTCAAACATGATATAGAACGGAAAATGGATTCATGTAATCAAAGTTTACGCAAAACCTTAACAAAAGACTCGCTGAACCACATCCTCCGTCCAAAAAACGAGAGCACTGCACTTAAATAGCTGCATAAATTTCAATTAAAATGCAGCGAAATAAGAAAAGTAACAACAAGACTTATATCGCTAATTCGTGGGGAATGGGCCCTTTGAAAGATGAAGCAATCCATTCCAAACTCAATTAAAAGAACACTTAATTACGCAGTCAAAGTGTGCGAACGTGAGAGCAAGACAGCTAGAAAGGGAGAGCCATAGAACACTTGTAATGGGGAATGCAATAAGTAAATTTGCATAAGACAAGCAAAAGTTTGGATTGACCGTGAAGTCGACTGCACAGACAATGCAGTTTTACAGTGGAACTGAATGTTGTTGTAATATTTTTTACAAAAATATCATGAGCAGAAAGGGAAGGGGTAAGCTGGAACCATCACTAAAGAATTTATACTATTGTAGTAGTCCATTTCTAGAAACTCTGAACATGCTGCACTTCAAATTTAACAAAAGTTCAAATTAAAATGATTTAATATACCTGGTGTGGCCCACTGTTTAAAAACCAGGCTTGTTGGCTGCTAACCCTATCTTTCTCCCCTTCTCCTTCTAACCGATTTGCTCTCTCGCTCTTGGCAATGCACGAGAAGCTGACCACGCAAGTGTGACGTCGCCAGTTGTTGTTGCTGTTGCTGTTGTTGCGGCTGCTGCTGCGTCTGCGCGGTTGTTGCTTTTGTACCCAAAGCTATTTGGCCACTCAACCAAAGCTCCCCATTTCCCACTGCCACGCCCCCCGCAACGCAATGCCGCCGACCTGCCCACATTATGTAAAGTTGAAAAATACGATAGGCGTGGTCGCCAAACAACAAACGAAAATTCTTTAACACGCATACAACTTGAAAATGTTTACTTTTTTGGTCTGCTTATAGAGATAAAAAGGCAAATATATTTTAAATATTTAACCACATATATTCGCAACTATCACAATTTGGGACATTCAAAATTTAAAATATTGGCTTTTCATAATTAAGTATAAATCTGATAAGTGGGTTTCCTGTCTTAAGTTGGTAGTTATAAGTACTAATACTAAAATACTAAAAAAAAAAATGTTATTGGCATATTATTTTTCTCTGTGCAACAAAGACAATAAGAAGAAGAACAATACCAACGACCAGTTTTCAGTTTTTAAGACATAACGGTGCTTAACGTCACCTACTTTTCACTTTGGATTTTTGGATAGTTTTTTGGTAGATGAAATACCTTTTTTTGTATACGTGTGTGCGTATGTGTTCCTCTAACCGTTAAAACCAGTTTTCCTTTTTGTTTTTCTTCAAATTTTCGAGCATTGAAAACGAAATTTATTTTGTAATTCAGTTAGAAGAAATTGAGAGGAGAAATGTTTGGCCTGTGGAGTTTTGACCTAGTTTTCATTTCGATGGGGAATGAGACACAGCTTTGCACTTAAGTTGGATTTAATACATTCGTAAATACAAAATAAAAATAAATCATTTTTACTGCCAGTAAAATATATTCCAGCCAAATTCAATTGAGGAATTAAGGAAAAGCTAATGAAAAGCCTCCAAAAGGATAGAAAGCATTAAGTAATAACGATATTTTTCTTCGACTTTAACTTTAACCAGTTTCATATAAACCCAATTTGCATATTAAAACCATTTACCGAACCACTCCTCAAAACTTGATAAGTAACTTGAGAGATAAGACGACCAAACGTGACCACCTCGAATCGGAAAAGAAAGATGAAACCAAATGAATACGTTGGAAAATCATTGGTAGAAAACGCGTGCCAGGGCTAAGAAAAGTCGAGTCTTGTAATAAAGCAACACAAAACGTGGTAGAATATGTATGCATACACTTGGTCACAGTTAACTTCTTTAATGTGAAAGGATTTGTCACCATGTCACTAACAGATACCCATTACTCTGCAAGCAAATTTGAAATGGCCCTATGTTTGCTTGTAAAAAAAAACCCGACTGGAGAACGATCACGATAAGAAAATAAATAATATACATTTTTTGATGTTTGGCAGCTTTTCTCTAAACGTGTCAAATACTTTAAAATACGCATTCTATTAGTTTACTTGCAATGGGTATCAAAGAAAGCAAATAAATATCTTCCTTTGTTATATAGAAGATTATAGATTATTATTTCTATTCGTGAGTCTGTTACTTAATTGGGTCCATCAGAAATATGATTTTCATGACTTCAGCAAGAGTATATCTCCTGAAATTAAACAAAATTCCTATTGAACGTTAAGCGAACCATCGCGTATTCCTTCCACATTGCCAAATTCGATTGTTTATTATTTAATTTGCTCTTGGGGGCGCAATACATAAAGTAGTGTCCCTAAAATAGACCCAAATGCCACAACTTTGTCGTGCCTCGGAAACTTTTTATTATCCCAGTTTTACGAGCACGTAAAACGCTTGGCTGAGAATAAAGCGTTCATTGAGCAGGCCAACTCTTTCGCTTACTTCGGGCTACAGCTAATTTTACGTGAGCACATCCCACCTCGAATGTCCTCATTTCTCTTCACTGACTTGACTTTTCGTCCGCTTAATAGGTCAACTCGGTCAGGATTAGGTCACATGGGCTGGGCTGCACCCACTTTTCGGTTGGCCAAAAAGGCTAAGTTGGTAATTAAATTTGAGGTCAGTTCGTCAGACGAGTATCTAAATGTGGCAGGTTCCTGCCTTTGTTGTCGCATTTGCCAGAAGCTCTTATCTGCCAGAACCAAATGTAATGAATTCCCTTGCGTGTCAGATTGTCATCATTTGCCTGAGATGATCAGAAGGGAGTCGTAAATATAGTTTGTCAATCTTTCGCTTGGCTGCTCGCTCTGATGGCAGCCTAGAATTGTTAAAAAAACACACGACAGTAACCAGGAAATATACTTCAAGTTAAGGGATTTAGCTCAAGTGCTTGAGAGCAATTTTCTTAGCTTTTTTAGACTCCAGAAGAGGGCGTTTGTGTGATATTACTGATTTGCTAGTTTTTGTTCTCGATGTTTTTTACTTGATGACTTCAGCACATGGAGTTACTGACCCAAAATCGTAAGCTTTATTAAATTTTGCACACATTTCAGTCATTTTCGGCATGTAATTAAAATATACATTACATTAATTCTACTACTACTTTATGCTAAAGACGATGAAGTCCAAAACATGCACTTGTTTTTCTTAACAAATTTTTCGCGCTAAAAGTCTTGAAAAGTTTTATTTTTAATTTCACTCGCTTTTTTGACTCTTAATTAAGTGCAAACCGCATTGCGACAGCTTGTGACAAATTTGTTGTTGGTTTTGCTTTTCAACTTGCTTTCCTACTTGCAACACGGGCAGCAGGAGAACTGTAATTTGGTTTAATTGCCTCGCAACATTTGCTAATTAGGTTTTACAGTTGGGGGAACTCTTATCAGAATTTGCGAATGTTCTCCAAGCGCGGAAAAAGTTTGCATATTTAAGTTGAAGTCAGCGCCCATTCCCCAGATTTCCCTTATAGCCAACACCTGCTGAGCTGCCGTGACTGAAAGTCATTTAAAGTGTTTTACTTGCTGCTGTTGTTGCTCCTGCTGGCATAATTATTTTCATACACATTTTTGTGTTTAGCTTTTCAAAGAGCTGAGCCCGAGCTTGGCAAATAAATTAGCAAACTGATTTTGCACTTGCTAGGGCGTTCAAGGCAAGACTTTTGACTTTTGCGCCGCCAAGTGCAGTGCCCCGAAGTTGCAACTCTTTTTCGGAATTTTTAATGAGCGTTGTTGATAAGCCAAAGAGGTAATGCTGGTGGGAAAATAAGTTGTGCCGCAGGAAAGTTCGTTTCACCATTTGAAATGTAAATATATTTAATAGGTTTAACCATATTTGAACTGGGGTATCTAACTTAGATAGTTTTGTGCCATAAGTTTGAGTATTTGAAGATAGCTCCTGAATAAAAACTGTCACTCAAAGATTTTAGTATATAAACAATTGAAACAAAGGGAATCGATGAATAAGTAGATTGTCAGTAGATATTTAAATATACGTTTTTATCGTGCAACGACTTTGCATTCTTTTTATATTAATCTTGTCTGTATCACGCTTTAAGATACGAAATCTTATCCCACAAGCTAGAGAATGTGAAAGTAAACAGAGAATAAGATGAACATTCCAAAGATTCCATCAGTGGACTTTTAATCGTAAGACTTAGGGAAAAAAAGAATTTATTTCTTCAAGAGAGAAGAACGCTTAAGTGTGATACTCTACATTTTCAAGGCCCTATGTTTTAAAGTTACCTATATCGATCATTTTATTTATTTATGTAACAGAGAACACGAGAGGAACTTGTTTACTTTGCGCAGTCCAAGCAATTGGACAAATTCGATATGCAAATTTGATCGTCTTACAAGAATTTCCAGCTACAAAGCGATCCAATTCGATTCTGTGCGTGGTAAGCGGTTGCGATATACATATGAGACAATATTTACAGTCCAACCAGTGCGAATTGCCATTCCAATCAGAGGTAAACAAAAATCAAAAGCCAATCTGAAAAAAATGCCAACAAACCTGTACGAGTTGTCCGCTGCCGCTGCGCTGCGCTGCTGCCGTGCTGCCGCCGCCGACGTCTGCGTCGAGAACTTCGGCTTTGAAGCTCTCAGACGGAGTTTATGTTGTTGTTCTTGTTGCTGCTGCTGCCTTTTTGCATGTGCAAATCGAAAGAGAGCGAATGAGAGGGAGCGATGGAGCCCACCAACACAAGCACACGCGCGTTTTGACAGGTAAGCGAAACACGGCGCAAAGAGCAACTGAAGAAGAGGAAGAAGAGGCAGCAATGAATGATCGTCGCTTTAACTTTTCGCTTGCATTGGTATGCGTGTGTGCATTTCTGGGAGTTAACTTTTAACACTTTCAGCCTTGGAAACAGATATATTCATAATGCACTTTCCACTGATTTGCATACGTAGCTCTCCAACAACTAACACTATTTTTCAGCACGCACACACACACTCAAGGCGCGCCGGCTGCGCAAGCCACTTTTGATTTAAGTTAGCCCACGTACAAGAGGCGAAACGCGGAGAGCGTAGCTCGGATTTCAATGCGGCCAGCGCGGCTATATATAGGCGACTGAGTGAGCAGTTACTTTGCGTACCTTCGTGAAGCTCACCTGGCCGAAAAGCTTTTAAGCCCGAGCTCAGCGCAGCGCAATGGTGAGAAACGCACTAACGCGTTGGGCGTCTGGCTATTTTCCGCCAAATCTGGCGTTGGGCGTCTGGCTATTTTCCGCCAAATCTGTCGTTGGGCGTCTGGCTATTTTCACGCCAAATCTGGCGTTGGGCGTCTGGCTATTTTCACGCCAAATCTGGCGTTGGGCGTCTGGCTATTTTCACGCCAAATCTGGCGGGACTTCAAAACTTGCAGCTAGGAATAAATAAAAACAATTTCATTACGAAAGCTATTGTGCAGTGCAAAATTGCATAATTATCTAAGTAAGTAATTACTTAAATCCCTTCACATATTAATTCCATGCGCTGTTAACCGCATTACCATTCGTCTTCCATGTGAATTTGATTGGAATGGCTGTAATTCGATTTTCCGCATTGCTCACCACTGACGGAACCAGCAATGGCAACGCGCGGAACCAGTTCATCCACAACAGAGTTGCACAACAGATCAGCAGCGGCGAAGTAAAAACTAATTTTTTTAATTAAAACGCTTTAATAATGCTGCGAGCGGGTTGCCAGCTGCTGACGCAGTCCACCCTACCCAGCGGCAAGACGGTTGGAAATAGCTTCGCCCTCGAGTTCGTCCGCTGGCGCAGGAAACCGCGCTGGCTGCCGGTGGCCAAGAGCAAGATGTTCCGCGTGCCCGAACGCAAGAAGCAGTCGGAGGAGGAGCGCACGGAGCTCATGAGGCTCCACAACCAGTACAAGTAGGTGCACCAGCGGCTGTTAGCTTCGTCTGACTTAATACAATCTTGAACACCTTGATTTCAGAACGCAGCTGCGCTCAGTGCGTCAGTTTCTAAGGGAGGAGGTCGTGCGGCATCAGGAAACCTCCACAGCAGACCACATCGTGCTCACTCCCGAGCAGGAGGAGGCCGAGTTCCAGCAGTGCCTGGAGGCCAATGCCGCCTGGAACGCAGCAATAGCCACCGAGCGAGATCAGCGACTGGCCAAGGAGCGGGAGGAAAAGGTGGCCTATGTGCAGGAGCGACTGGAGGCGCGACAGGTGCGCGAGGAGGAGCGCAGGGAGCAGGCCAACCAGCGGGTTCTGCTCGAGATCGAGCGTTCCAAGACCTTCATCACCAGGGAGAACTTGGATGCAGCCATTGAGACTGCGTTGGCCAATCCCGTGGACCACAACTTCGCCATTGATCTGGCCGGGAATCTTTACCAGGGACGCAGCAGCTCTCAGCTCCCAGACGCCAGTGGCGAACCCAACCAGCAAGTTTTGAGTAATTAATCCAGTGTCTTAGTTTGTTGTTACATTAAAATGCGTTTATGGCTAAAGTTGGTTAGGAGTCCAACCTATGTTTTTATTATTCTGCACAATAAACAACACTTAGGTATATTTCGATTTGTGAAAAAAGTAAGAATTAGATAGTCTATGCAAATGCGATAATTGCGTTTGCTAGTCGTAGAATACTGTTCAATTGAAAGCTCCGCCTTGGAAATTGGAATAATCAATTTGAACATCGAATATATAAAGAATACATTAACTAGAAATAATTATAGCAGAGCATGGCAACAAGTATCAATTAATTTAATTTATGCTACATATCCCCAAGCTGATAACCGATTTTCTTGGCTCAAAGTCGAACCTTTGAATTTTTCGAGAACTTCGTCGTAACATTGGCGAAAAACCTTCAGAAAAGCACCGCTTGTATTACAAATTTCTATATTTAACGTTTATATACGGCATTTAGGATAGGAATAACTTAAGCTTAGGCGCAGCCTATTTACAATATTACATATCTACCACGGCGAAGTGGGTGTTACGTGCTCGGTACTGGATTCGTTCGCTTGGATGCCGCCTCCTGCTGCTGGAAAAGGTGCACCCAATCTGGAGTGGCCTTCAGTTTGGCTTGAATGGGTCCCAAATTGATCATGTTTCCGCTGCGCTGCTCGCGGTTTGCGGTAACAGACATGAGCTCCTGCAGAAAGCCCGGATCCAGACCCATATCCAAGTCGAAGCGCGTGTCTCCCAGTTGGAGCTTAACGCGACCGGACTTGTACCTCAGAATCTTGCCGATCTGTCCCTCTTCCAGCTGCCGTAGTATACTACCCTTGGGTCCGTTTGAGCATTTTGCTGCAGGACTTGCGGGTTCCGCTTCGCCGGTTGCCTGATGATCCCCCTTAGGTGGGATCGGCTCTTCGGAATCGTCGCCCACACATGGCAACACATCCGGCAGTTGCATGAGAAAGATCTGCGATTCGCTGGAGTCCAGAAAGTTACCAATGGTGCGCGGGTAGCGGCCGTACTGCAGTGGTGGCTCCTCTAAACTGGCTGTCTGAGCAGCCACATGCAGCTGTTGCAAGTGCTGGGCCACTGCCAAAGTGTCTAGGGGCGAAATCAAATTAGTTTATGCGAATTTGAATGCGTAGGGCGTTACCCTTTTGTGTTGAGGTTGAACTGGCGTTTTCTTGCTTAGCAATCGGTGTCTTCTGGGTGACCCAGAGTCCTGGCAATTATACAAAATTATAAATTTCTTCCGCCTGTATCGCAAAATATATGTAAAGCCTACCCTCCTTCAGCAGGATGGGCCTGAGTGCCATCTCAGTCTTGTTAGCCTCCTCTTCGCTGAGCTCGCCGCCGCTGGCCTCCGATTCGCCCAGGAGCTCCTTGATCCGCTCGGCCTGGCCCTTGTCGTCCTTGCGATCCACCCGTTTCCTGGTCACGGCCACCTCCTCCCCGCCCCGTGCATATGCCGTTCCATTGCCCGTTGATCTCCGCACATGAACATCGCCCGCTCCTTCGGAGAAGAGTCCCTGCGTTTGGATGAGCGTGGAGTTGCCCCCGCCAGCGGAATTTCCACCTCGACCACGTGTTGCTCCTGTGCCGTTGCCACGTCCGCCCCTGCGTCCGCTTCTCGGCTGCGTGGTGTCCTTGGACGTCTTGACATTGCTGTGATTCATAGATGAGATGATGAAAATAAAGACTCCCCTTGGGCAATTCCACAACTCACGCATTTTTGTTGCGCACAGCATTCAAATTGGGAGCAAAGACCTTTTTGCTGGCTGTCCCAGCGCCACGCCCACCGAGGGTTAAGTCGCGGGCGGGCGTCAGCCTGGTCATTCCGTTGAGCGTCTCCAGTGGGCGTGCCCCGCCCCCAGACTGAATACTATTCGTGGCGGACCCACTGGCTCCACTGATGGACGAAGCTGCTGCTGTGGTGACCGTCATCCGCTTCGCTGGCATGGCGTTCCATTCGCGCCGCCCGTCCCCTGCAAAAGTCGACCGAAGTCGCTGGGCTCTGATTTCCCTGTAGGTCCGTTGGCTTTGCGCTAGAATTTCCGCAGACTTCTTTGATTTTCCTTTGAGGTTAATGGGAATGCTGAGTCGATACACCACATGCCGATACACCGTAGTCGATAGACTTGAGTGTTGCCAGATGACTTTCCTTTGCCTATCGCATTTTTAAGCCCTGATTGTAGCGGGCTTCTATCGGAAACCGATCATAATATGTACTTCCATTCGACAAAACACAAACATAAAGAGAGGAAAAGCGCTAATGTTGCAGCTCACTCTACAGCATTCCACTTGTATGCAGCATCAATACGATACATCATCTCTATTTTGGTACGACAATCGATGCGAGTCACCTAGCCATCGCCCATCTGGCAACGCTAGTCGAGCTAACATTTTATAAACAAAGCGAACCGGCAAGATCATCGTCCACCATCCATGGCCAAAAAGTAGGGAGATATAGAGGAAACTGGAGGAACGATGGCCTCCAAGCGCTTTTCTGGCATGAAGGACTTCGCGCGGTGCAAGAAACCGCGGCTGGATGTCAGCGTTACCCGCGGATCAACGCGTTCCAGTCCACCAAGGAACAATTTCGATGGGATTCTCTGGGACGACGATGACGACGTCATCCTGATGGCCACCCAGCTGGCGGAGGCGGAAATCGAGGCGGAGGAGCGCAAGAAGAAGGGGGGAACAGAGGTGGACATCGGCCACAGCGAGGTTACCTTCAGTGAGTTCGCGCCCACTTTTCAGGGCTCCACCAGCACACAGCAAATGTTTCCGCCCCCGCCGCCGCCGCAAAAGAAGCCTGCTTCCCTGGATATGGATGCCATTTTCGCGGATGATGACGATTTTGATTTCCTGGCCGTTACCCTCATGGACAGCGAGCCGCAGAAGATGCCGGAGCCGAAGCCCAGCACCAGTAAGATCACTACCTCCAGCATCAGTGTTCAGCAGAAAACCACGACAACGACCACCATCAATGCCACACAATCCCGCCAGCAGGAGCACCAGATAAAGTTCCTCATGGATAGGATCGAAGCCCTCAAGCGGGACAACGCCCAGCTGGAAAAGAATTTGGGAGACAGTAAGGAACGCAATGAGATCAAGTCGGGTGAGGTAGGTGGACACCGAAGTGGAACTCTAACACCGACTTCTAGACCTTACAGACCTTACTAACAAAATGATATTTATCTCCCTAGGTTTCCTTACTTCGTGATGAGCTAAAGCACTTGCGCCAGCAGCTGCAGGCTAGCAAAATGGAAAAACTGGCTTTGGCCGACGAAACGAATCGAGACTGCAACAAAAAAGTGGCGGAGGCGGCCAAGCAAATTGCGGCCAAGGACATCGAGTTGAAGATCAAGAATGCCGAGTACTCAAAGCTGAAGACACAGCAAAGAGCGCATGAAAAAAGTATGAATTCCAGCATGATCAGTTTTCACGCTGCTGCGGATCCTTTGGAGAAACGGGCCTCACTTCGTTTGAATAGGCTTAACATACACAGATCTGTGCCCGGATTAAAAACCGATAATGGCAGTGTGTTCGAGTACAGCGAAAATGAGCAACAGACTAAGAAGCGGAGAAACCTGTTTGAGCTAGAGTTAAAGCAGCTACTGCTTCATTACGCTCAGCTGCAAGCGCAGCCGGAATCTTTGGATAACCTCCTGCCCAGAATACTCACGTCGGTCGGCAAGGTTTTCACGGAGTTTGCTTCATATGCGCAAGGCTTGGACTTCCCGCACAACTGCATGTTATATCCCTACAATCCCCACAACCTGGAAGAGCAAGTTCATCGCATTTCCCTCTCTCAGCAGAGCAGTTTGTATGACAACGAACAGGCTGTGCCGTTGCGTCGCTACATGGCTACCTTGGCTTTGATTTGCCGGCAAGAGGAGCGGATTTCTAGAGGTCTCCTGGAGTGGAAAGAAAATAAACAGGGACTGCTAGAGATGGCTGTGGAAGCCATCATAAAACTGGGATTTTCCTACGAGGTCAGCAAACATTTCGGTTTGCTGGAAGCCTTGACATCCCTCCTAAATAGCCTCCTGCAAGGAAACGGCCTTCTTCAGCATAATGAGGAGCTGCTCTTCGATCTGCTTAAGCAGCTCGTTTTTACTCGTCCCAGTCCATGGGTCTTCGCCGAGCTAAGCTCTTGTCTCTTAAGCTGCCTTCGACAACCCCAACTAATGGTTAAAATGTGTGTAAATAGTCCCAAGGAATGCTTCGTGTCGGATCGCGTTCGCTCCGTGTATCGCTTTGGTCCCGACTCCTGCTTGCTTCAGGTCTACGCGGGCTTACTCGAGCTATGCTTCTTTAGTGAAACTCCTCTGCGGCAGGACTACTTTCAGTTACTGCTCAGAATCGGAGGCAATCATGTGCGCTTTGCTTTCGAGTGCTTCAAGAACCCACCGGATTTCATACTTGAAATGCTGCCGTACTTTGCGGATGACGGCGAAGAGGACTCCAGCGATGGTACTCTGATGAAAACGGCCAGCAGTATGAGCTGCAGCTCCACAGGAGCCGTGCATGGTTCGGCCACCAACGGCTCGATGTCGGCGTCCGTTTCGAACTTAAATCAAAACTCAAATTCCAGTACAAAGCTGCGCGGCAAAGGCTGCGAGTGCTATGTAAAGTTGTGCCTCAGTGCGGTAACCATTGTCTTTCAGGTGATGCACCAGTGGATGCTGCACAGCAGGAAAACAGGTTCGTTAAATTAATCTCTAACCAATAACAATCTCTAATAACAATCACTGTTCGTATATCCTACTTAGGTACCGAAGAAGTTGGCGAGATTTCCCGCATCGCGGTGCACCTTCTGTCCCTCGTCTTCCACGAGTATTACCTCACCTGCCTGTTCCGCGACTCCGAGGAGACGACCAAACACTACCTCAGCCTCATATGCAACTGGTGGAGCGAGCATGCGGACCTACTAGGCTTTCAGCCAATACATTGTTAGTGAACCACCAGCATTCTATTTAATCCATCGCTAACTTCTTGAATATTGTCTCCCATTTAGTGCGTTTGTTGAAGCAACTGGTGAAAGCCCATTTCATGCTGAAGCCTCTGCACCTGGAGGCAAAGCCTAGTAATCCAGTCAACGACCTTTCCGAATGGAAACGTATTGTCAAGAATGCGGATGCGCAAACGCCTGTGAAGTCGGCTGTGACAGCTGATCCTAGTAAATTACTCGACATCGACTTCTTTGCTGCCCTCAAACGAGAGGAGGACACTTTTGAGTAGTTATAATTTGCTTAGTGTAGACTTAAAGTTACTTATAGATGAGAAGTTAATTTATTGTGAAGTTTCAACTGGTTTGTTACAAAATAGAAAAGAGCTCATTGCACAAATGTGGAGCTTAAACTACGCATTCCAAAATACAATTTATAATACCTACCAACTGAGCAGCGTTTAAATAAACCGTCAAATAATCGATTTTGCATTGTGATGTCAAAAATGAATCGATATCGGAATATATCGTTCCGAAGGAACTGGTTAAAACAGCTGATATTGCTAGTTTCAACCAGTTCAGTTCGCGTGGAACTAGTTGTAAGCGCGGTGATTTTCTTAATTTTAGAAGTGTTTAGTTATTTTTTTTTATTGTGTGCGTTTCAAACATGTGTTTATAGTGTATAAAAGTGTTTATAGTGCATACAAGTGTTTATAGTGTATTATGATTACCAGTTCGCTAGAAATAAATGTAATAAGCGTGATTCAAGCTGTTCAATACCAGTCGCAGAGGTAGGTGCAAGCACATGTAATTTATATCCTCTCATAATTATAAGATATGATAATTATACATTGATCGTAAAACTCAATATCGAGGAATGTTTGCTTTTCGGATCTTTGAGTTGTTTTAAACATTCCTTTGCATATAAAACTGCATTAGTGGGGTTGAAGTAACGGGTTGGCACAGAAGAACAGAGGTTGATGTACATCAAAGTACCAATATGTACATATGTATATGTATGTCTGCATGATGTATGATACATACATATATGCAGGTATGTAATATGATCCTCCCCTAGTGTATTACAAACTACGTGGACATACAGTTGAAATTTAATTAGTTTTTAAGTCGAACTAATAAGAAAAACATTTTATTTAATAGGCATGTGTTTAGCTTTAATGATATTTGGTTTTCATTTTTGATATGTTGGTTTGCAACGGATTAATTCGTTGACCAGAATGCGGATGCCCAAACGACTGTAAAGTCGGCTGTGACAGCTGATCCTAGTAAATTACTCGACATCGACTTCTTTGCTGCCCTTAAACGGGAGGAGGACAGCTTTGAGTAGTTATAATTTGCTTAGTTAGACTTAAAGTTACTTATAGATGAGAAGTTAATTTATTGTGAAGTTTCAACTAGTTTGTTACAAAATAGAAAAGAGCTCATTGCACAAATGTGCTTAAACTAAGCATTCCAAAATACAATTTATAATACTTACCAACTGAGCAGCGTTTAAATAAACCGCCAAATAATCGATTTTGCATTGTGATGTCAAAAATGAATCGATATCGGAATATATCGTTCCGAAGGAACTGGTTAAAACAGCTGATATTGCGCATTTCAACCAGATCAGTTCGCATGGAACTAGTTGTAAGCGCGGTGATTTTCTTAAATTTAGAAGTGTTTAGTTATTTTTTTTTATTGTGTGCGTTTCAAACATGTGTTTATAGTGTATAAAAGTGTTTATAGTGTATTAATGATTACCAGTTCGCTGGAAATAAATGTAATAAGCGTGATTCAAGCTGTTCAATACCAGTCGCAGAGGTAGGTGCAAGCACATGTAATTTATATCCTCTCATAATTATAAGATATGATAATTATACATTGATCGTAAAACTCAATATCGAGGAATGTTTGCTTTTCGGATCTTTGAGTTGTTTTAAACATTCCTTTGCATATAAAACTGCATTAGTGGGGTTGAAGTAACGGGTTGGCACAGAAGAACAGAGGTTGATGTACATCAAAGTACCAATATGTACCAATATGTACATATGTATATGTATGTATGCATGATGTATGATACATACATATATGCAGGTATGTAATATGATCCTCCCCTAGTTATTAAAAACTACGTGGACATACAGTTGAAATCTAATTAGTTTTTACGTCAAACAAATAAGAAAAACAGTTTTTTTTAATAGTCATGTGTTTAGCTTAAATGATATTTGGTTTTCATTTTTGATGTGTTGGTTTTTAACGAATTAATTTGTAGAACAGCAAATTACTGAGCTTGGTGTGTGAACCTTAAAACAATGGGACAATCTTATCTCTATCATAACTTTTATAGAAGCATATCTTCAACATGTTCCATGTAGTTGAACAAAGTCCAAAAAAGGCGGTATCTATAGCAATTCATATCCGTGTGCAAAATTTAATTTTGACAACCTTAACCGATTGGCATTCAAGGGCTCCACTTAACTCAACTTAACTTAATTTTTGTAATTTATAATTTTATCATGGGGTCAGTTAAACCACAGACAATTTCGCTTTGTTTGGGGTGCAGTAACCAAAACAAACGTTTTATTATTTAATTCCATAAAGCATCTACACATAGAAAAGTTTCTTCAACGTATAATTTTCTTTCAAAACTGCCTATTTATTTGAAGAACACAATCTGCGGCTTTATTTACAATTTTCGAAACGGTACCTCTTTTCTTAATAAGCTAAAATTAGGTTTTAAATTGAAAAACCTAAATATATTTATAGCTTAAAATCAAATATATTAAATAACATCTAATAAGTGTATTTAATCAATGTTGAAATGCACAAGATGTGAAAACTCTGAAGTGGGAAGTAAATTGTTTTCAGTGCTGATCATGCATGCAGTGATAACGACAAAGCTTCCCGATATGCTAGTTGTAGTACAGCGGGAACCCCGAGATAATTTCGCAACTAGTGCACCCCACATGGGATCAGTCGGTTGGCGAGGTTTGCTCTGAAAAGTCGTATAACTATGGAGCGGGAGAACTACAGTGCGGAATATTTCGAGAGAGCTTTGGCGCGAGCTTACGGTTGTGAAATGCTTCGCGTGGAGAACTTTCACATCAAAGCGGTGAGCCAGAAGGGCGAGAACTTTTGCAGCGTCATCTACCGGGTGGCGTTGGACTTTCGCAGGTCCCCCGATGGCGCCCTCGAATCGGGAAAATACATTCTCAAGGATCTGCTGCCCGCCGTGGCTGCACTGGGCACAAACGAGAAGGATATGTTCGAGCTGGTTCTGCCAGCCATGTCAGCGATTATCGAAGGAGCTCCAAAGGAGATTGGCGAGCACAAGCTGAGCGCAGAGTAATTTAATTACACTTCTTGTGTAACTGGGATGTTGAAAAGCCGAGTAACGTGTACTCCTTTTATTTAAGCTGCTTGCTAGTCGAGATATCTGCTGGAAAAGAGCTGTACATCCTGGAGGATCTGGGCGCCCTGGGCTACAAATCTTTTGATCGCCTTCAAGGCTTAAACCTGGAAGAAGCCAAGAGCTGCGTAAGGAAACTGGCTCAGTTCCACGGTGTCTCCAAGGTTCTGTTTCAGAACAAACCCGAATTGGTGCAAAGGCTTGCGCCTTCTAATTATGCCAATGGAATAAACGATCGCTTTACCAAGGCTCTCGTATTGGATGGCGTCAAATATGCCGCAGAAGCGTTTGCCGATGAACTGCCAGAGATATCAAGGAAGATGAAGGCTCAAGTACCAAACGCATTTACGCAAAGAATCCGGGATGTCGTTGATCCAAAGCAGTCATCGTTGAACGCACTTATTCATGGCGATCCCTGGCTAAATAACATAATGTTTGATCCAGTCACTAAGAAGGCAACACTTGTGAGTACAAATAGGGAAGGCTTAACAAATATATTTAACTATAATTTTCCATTTTTAGGTGGACTTCCAGAACTGTTACTGGGGAAGTCCGGCGATTGACCTGTATTTTCTGTTTTACACCAGCCTTAAGCCTGAATTACTGCTAAATAGTCAAGATGAGCTCCTGAATCACTACTTTGACAACCTTCTAGAAACGTTGCGGCATTGCGGCTATAACGACACGCTGCCCACTTTTGGCCAATTAAAGGATGAGATGCAGCGGTGTCTGTTTTATGGTTATTACACTGTTGTTTGTGAACTTCCCATATGCTGTGCTTCCCCTGAAGCAAGTGTCGATTTCGGGATTCACACCTTCGTAAACTCGGATGCTCTGTTACAAAAGCGCCACCAATTATTCGCCAGCGAACGAGTTCGTCAGACCATAAAGGCCACGCTGCCTATGTTGGATCAGGAGGGTATACTAGAAACCCCCTAAAGAAAATTCCTTTTCTTAATCCCTTTTGTTTATTACAATGTTAAGTTTGTCTTGTCAGTATTTGCTATGGAAAACGGTTTCTGCTCTTTTTATAAGCAAAAGTTATTATAGGTAATAACATTCTTTTACCTTTTAGCTAAACAAATTGCTGTCTAGCTCTATTTAATTAAAATTATTACAGGTTGCTTGTTAAAAATGTTTGAATATAACTTATTTTTTCATTTCATTTCTATATTATTGATTCATTAACCCACTCCATTTACAAGCAACTTTTTGCCTAAGGGAAGAAACCCAACTCTTTATAAATAAATTTGTTGTCTGCCAAAGTTTCTGGCCAAGATTTACGAGTGTGAGCGTGTGATGCATGTGCCTCGGCTGGCTGCACTAAGAGCGATAAAGTTCTCACCTCCATTCCGATCCACCTCCTTGAAGCTAAATATGCAAATCGCCTGCAGTTATTCTTAGAAAGTTGTCAGCTGCCAAGTGTAAGCCAACTCGGCTCCAACTGAAGCCAAGCGAAGCGCATCGGGGAGCATATAGGGCCAAAATCGAGAAGGAATATACTGCAGGAGTGTGGCTGGGTGGCCAAAGTGCATTTGACGCCGATGTAACTTCGAACACTCATGTCCTTCTTTCAAGTGTTTATAAAGCAATTTATTGCTATTGTTCAAAAGCAGTCAACTTAAGCTATTATAAGCTAGAGTTTGAAAAGGGAAACCTTTGGAGGAATTTATTTATCGGCGCAAACAGAGTAGTCTTTGTTTTTACATAAACATAAACAAATTTGTACATAAAAAGTCTAGTAATGGCTTTCCTTAAAAAGGGTTAAACACACTTTTTAAACCTCTAACGCAAAGCATTATCCTTTGCATTACATAAATCGTTTCAACTGTCGGTCAATTACCATTTCCCCCCACTTGTTACCAATTTCGAGCCCCCATGGCTAAAATGTAAAGCTTAATTAACATGGAAAACAAACACGAAGGCCCAAAAGCAAACAGAAATCTGTCTAAGGCTGCCAACCAGTCGAAAGAAACTCATAAATCAATTTTGAAATGCATTAGAGACAGGTAACTTGCCGCCGTATTTCCCCATTCCCCAAACCCCAATTTTGCCAAGGAAATGGCTTCGAGCAAGTGACTGCAGAATTTCAGCAACTCGAAGGGGTCAACTTTCTGGAGCTGGTCAGTGGCCAAAAGTTGCAGCAGAGTCAACCCCCAAGTACGAAATCATCCCAGCCCCCATCGTCACCTATCAATTAATGTGTGTTTCTCCAGTGTCATGGTAGAAGTTGCTTCCTTTGCTTTCATCTGGGGTTGCATTTACTTAACGCCTCGCCTCATCACTTAACTTCCGTTTCCTGTTACTCTGGCGGGGGAAGGGGCTTTGATTCAGAGTCTGCGACTTTGGGGCAAGGCATTTGCAACTAATTGAAAGTGCAATGCGATGCTGCAGAATGCAATTAATGCCTTGAGGCCCTGGGAGGCCAATCCACCCAACCACGTACGTCTGCAGACGAGAAGTTGCATTCGAAACCGAAATGCACAGAAAAAACGATGTGCAAATTAAGATTCTTGGGGGTGTGCAAAAATAACAGCAAGTTTGGGGAAGTAAGTGGGGTATTGATTTTTTGAGGAAACTTGTGTATACCCATTCGATTTATTACAATCTGAATAAGTGCTAGAGCCTTAGATCACCCAATTTAGAAAAATAATAGGACTGTCCCATAACTTTAATGCTCTTTAATCTTCGCATCTTCGACACCCTATACTATTTCCTTTTGTTGTAGTGCCTGAATAACTCAAGAAAGTTTTATCAATTAGCTGCCAACTACTCAGCGTATGGCTCATGTTTGCGAAATTACGGTTTAGGTTCGAGTCCTGTGGGGCAAAACAATTAAAAGCAATAAATTTGCACAGGCAACCATAAATCAAAGTCCGATCATAATCTCAGCCCAAGCAAATAGAGAGAAAAAGCCAAAAACGAAGCTCGGTCTTCCGCCCGAATTTTCTCCTCCTTAGCCAAAAAGTTGCAATCCAAGGAAGTCCACCGCAATCCGGGGAAATAGTCGCTTCGCTTCGTTTATTAATTGTACAACTGTCTCCAATCATAATTAATGAACTTTGGCACATCCTCCGCCGCAAACTCCACATGTCCCTTATTTCGAGGGGAGTGGAAAACCAACACTGAAGTATAAACACAAATGTTTTCCTTGGCACGCCATAAATCTTTCATTTGGCAAATCTCTGTGGGCCTTTCCGTTCACAATTCGTGTTGCTCCCCCAGCTATTTTTTTACTTGGCCTAATGGTTGGCAGTATCAATTGGACACATTAAAGGATCTACTGGATTTGGCTTTTATAGTCCCAGAAAATGTTCACTTTGAACTTAACTTATTATATTTTTACTACAATTTCAAGAAATATATTTTTTGCTTGATTCTAAATGGCGAAGAATCCCACAACTGCCTTTTGAATTCAATGACTTAACTTTAGGCTGGGAGAACGGAAAATTACATATGCAAATCCCTTATAATTATCAGCTAAGATCTTTGGAAAACCACATACCCTATTTGCGAGCATAAAGCCAAAAGCAAACATTTAAATTGCGATAATTTTTCATTTAGCTTGGGCTTCTCTTCAACGCCACTCATCAGTGGCTCATTTATCAACGATGTCTGCGAGATTGCGATTAGTCAGTTAGTCATTTCGGAGCCAAATTTAAATAATTTCAAAGTGATGACAAAAGCTTTTCCAGCTATCCGAGTAATTATATGCGCACATGGCATCCACAGAAAGGATATATGGCAACTCCAAGAATTAACACTTTCACGGCAACGGTTGAAAGATAAATGAAAGCATCATTAGTCATTGGCCAACCCCACAAACGCCGTAATCACATGTGTCCTCCACAATTTTTCACATTCCATGCCAGAAAGGGTGGGATTATATGTGATTAAATCCGTCAGATACCCAGATATTCATGTGTAAATTCTTTGTGGCAGGGTGTGACAGGTCCTGTTTCTAGTCCTGCAACTAAGTACTTGGAGTCTTTTTGGTCCATTGTGTGTGGCAAATTATTTATTGGCTATCATTACTTTGATTGCATGAGGCTTTTCGCAATTTTGTAGAAACACTTTTGCAGTCGAATTTGTGTTAGGAATTGACAGGGCTTTGCATGCGTATAATTTTAAATAATTTTCTAACTTAACTTAAATAAGTGAAATAGGTGCTACTGGATTTGCAAAGTAAAAGTCTTCCGCTTCATTATAAAAATGTTATTGTGCTTTTGCAATTTGACAAAACTCTTCTTTTCGGCGTAAAAGTAAGGAAATCCTGCGCTATTTTAGATAAAATTCTAATGACATTTTCTGGTAAGCGGTCGATGCCAGCTAACTTTTATGGCTTTAGCTCAGCCATGGGCCAAAAACTAATTACCTCGAGCGGAGTTTTTACAGGGGAGCTGAGAAAACTTTTATGGTCGGTGTGGTTTTGGCAGTTTCAATATAATTTTTAATGTCATTTTGCATGGGATTTGAATACGGCAATCGATAAAATGCTGTTTCCAAACGGGAAAGATTTTATGACACTTTCGGTCTGAGCGAGTTCAGGCGGAAAATTTGTTGGCCCATAAAAGTGCAGCGTCGTCTCTTGAAATGGGTAACAAAAATTATTCATAGTGCAGTTGCCCTCACTACGTCATGTCTTGGTAATATAATATAAGTAGTGTGGATCTCGAAAAGTTCCAGCAAATTTATTACAAGAAAGATACAGCGTGAAAAAGAACATATATTTCTTTAACTGAAGCTAACAAAAAAACTTTTACAAACATGTAACTTAATATACTTGTTTAGAAAAATATTAATTAAATCTTATCTTAAGCATATTATAAAAAATAACTAGGCAAGTTTCAATAGAAAAATGTAAAAGTATTAATACTACTATTTATATTATTTTTATATTCATTCAATGTTTAATACTGTTTCTAATTGAATATAATTTACACTTTATTTACAGCCCATTGTTGAACTGTCATTTTTGCCATCAACATGCGACCCAAGGATCACCCAGATCTGCACTTCGACGTGATTCCCAAGCTGTTTGATGCCCATTCCAAGGTGTTTCTCACGACCTTGTGCGACGTGGATAAGCAGCTCATACATTTGCCCCGCCGGTTCTGTCCGATGTACACTACTCGGCCACTGGCCACTCAGCTGTTTCAATATCTGCAATCCCGTAATGCGAACGTTGTGGGACAGGACTTCCATGTGGTGGAGGAGGGCCAGCCCTTTGCACTGCAGCTAAAAGACGGAAAACGCCTGGAGGGGATGCTGTGCTCTGGAAGTCATCTGGGGCACAGCCTCATTGTGCTTATCCGGCGGATGCAGGATAACCGACTGCTGTACTGCTACTCGGCTATGAGGCTGGATAATCTTGGTCGTCTACTGGGCAACTCGGTCTTCAACTCTTGGATCGCCCAGGGAACCGAGCAGCTGTATCTGAATCTCTCGTCCGTAAATTTGCCGTTTGATCATGTAGATTTTGATGAGATGGCACATGCCATCGAGGCTCACGGAGCACAGAATGACCAGAGCGTGGTGCATCTGAAAGTGCCAAAATTTGGCTACGAGGAAATGGTCTGGAGATTGGCACACACGAATCTCCGCGGACATATTCATCTGGGCGAACACATGACAAAATGCTATGAGTGCCTTAGTACCGATCTGGAGCGATTTCGGGATGAAAATTATGTACCAAAGATTTTCGTCAGCGGTTACCCGACGGACTTTAATCCCCATCAAAAGACGGTTTCCTTAGATATCACAGAACTTAAGTGGACGCCTAATCCGACCAGGATGCATCTTCGTCAGCTATGCAGCCTCTTGCGACCTCAACACATCCAGGGAATTGTCCAGTTTCATACGGATGGCATTGTGTCGCCCGTTCCGTCATTCCTAAAGGTCTTCAAGGCAAACTATTCGCCGAAGAGCGATGCAGTGGTATCAACGATCAGAAGTGAATCTCAAGCAGGACAGGCGAAGCAAGGACTCTATCGCGCTTTTCGGGCAAGAAGGGCCTTTGAATTTGTGAACGATGGCGACGAAAGCAGTAGTTCGGGATAGTTTGAAGTATCATCTACTTTCATCGTTTGTTACAAGGAAATGTGAAAGCTGTAAGTAGGAACACTTTTTAAAGAAATGAATTTAGCTGTAGTTTGGAACAGTGCCCAAGCTCCTAGGAATTTTATTCATGCAAACCCTTGAAAATATATAAAAATAAATTGTATGAAGTTTATCTGGTATCAATTTGTTTGATCGGACAGTATCTCTTCGTCTGACCAGGAATCGGCAAGTCGCTCGAAATCATCACTGCATATTTCTTCCTTTGCTTCAAAGGTTTTAAGATCATCGCCCGCATCCTGTGATTCCTTGGTTGAGAGCTCCATGTCTTCCGTTTGCTTTTCGATTTGCTTCATAGTTTCCTCGTTGCCCTCACTTAAGGATTCCATGTCCAATGCATCCGGGGTTTTCGGATTGCTTACTTTGGTAATTTGAAATTGCTTAATACATTTAGGAAGCCTTATAAATTTTGCAAAACGTGATTTTATCTCAAACATTTTAGGGATTGTGAAGAGCAGAACCAGCCCTGATAGTTAAATGATTTTTTTAAACTTTTGTTTTTATTTATTAAAGATTGACTTACCCAATTGGCTAACCATTAGAAAGTTAATGCTCTTTCCATATATGATAATTAAAAGAAGAATACCGAACCACTTGAATGTTCGCCAAAAGCTCTTTAGTATTAATACTTCTCGTAGATTATTTAGGAACCCCTCAGTTTTGGTTTGAATCAGGACACCAAGTTCCCTAGATTGCTCCAGGGAGATACTTAGGTCTATGTCAAGATATTTTGGATAGCTATTATTTTGGATATCGGTTCTTTTAATCAAATGAAGGCACTGAACGCAAAGACGGTACCCCATCGATATGATCATGATAGTCAAAGCCCATACGCTCACCACGAATAGAGCCGGCTCAGAAAAAAGATCATACATTAAGGCCTGTAGTATGCCAAATACAAGTAGCGAATTTCTCCAGTTGCGCCACAGGATCAGCTTAGTTATTCCCTCGCATAAGGATTTATTTTCATTTACCTCCGCATCGGGTGCAGAAACTGGAACAGGGCTCGCGGTGTTGGCCATATTTTTATCGATTTTTTGAGACTTTCAGCACAGAAAATATATAGAAATTACAAAAACTTGGAGACGATTGCAACGACGGTGAAGTATTCGACTACTAGATTGAATTTGGTCTTTATATCCGTTACTCGTAGAGTACTAGATCCGATAGATATCTTACAGTTTGAGGGAAACGTTTCCGGACATAAAAAGTGTATATACTCATGATCACGATTACTAGCCGAGTAATAGATATACATATGGCCGTGTCCGTTTGTATGTCCGTCCGTATGAATGCCGAGATTCCGGGAACTATTAAAGCTAGAAAGTTTAAATTAAGCATGCAGATTCAGAAGATTGTCACAAACTGCCACATTAATATAAACCTACATTTAATATAAATACATATGTGTTCTATAAAACGAGATGCATTTCAAGTACCAATTTAAGTAGCCGCCAACTTTTAACCGCCAAGAGCACCTGTTGCCTATTTAGGCGACATTTTTCATTGAATTGTTCAAATTATGTATAAAACATTGGTATGCTGTCTGCTTGGATTTCCAAAAGGGGTTTTCGCAGACACAAAATTTGGTTTATCGCAACAAGTTCAACTTCATATATTTTTACTCATACCATAGGCAGATCATGTTTTTGAAAATTTCCGATTACTATGGTCGCGCATTTTCTGCTTGATCTTTTACTTCAACGACTATTAAGTCAAACAGAACGCTTTTCAAGATCTCTTTGTCACAGCTTTGTTCGCGTTTGATCCGAACCGTCAACAAGGTCTTTTATTCCAATTCTCGGAGCAATCTGGGCAAATAATTTTGGCACGAGGTGTGACCAACGCCCATTGAGGGTGTGGTTGATGACACTCAGCCTTCTGTCTCCCAAGTCAATCGTTTGCCAATTGATTTGTCAAAGGCATAACGCTAATATTTTGGGCAAATACTGGAAAAAGTCACTGGTCCATTGGCGTCAAAATGACATCGAGTGGTTTAACTTTCCACCCTCAAGATACCGCTTTAAATGTTTTTAGGGAGGGTCGAGAAAAGAATATTAAAATCGGAATAATTTTAATGACTCGTTCAAGTATCTAAAGGTTTTGAGCGCTCGAAATGGTTTACACCTTGTAGTAAATTGTTGTTAAAACATAAATGTAGGTATAATTCCCTGAATCCTGTTTGACAGTCCAACTATTTCTACTTCAAATAGACATTTGTTCATTACCCTTCTGAGAAATCTGGCAAAATATTCTTAGTTTGTGTCGCCTTCAATTAGAATTACTGGAATTAATATGCAAACAGCAAAATCGTTCTATTTGCATCATGTACGAATGCAGTTTAATTAAACCGAATTCCCCATAATGCCCACATCACGAACCCATGCAAAACACAAGCTCTACAGGATATTAGAATGTTTGACAAGTTGTCAATGCATCAAGATGGAGAGGACAAGGCAGAAAATTGGCAGGAAAGTCTTATCGTTCATTTTGAATGTAAATTAAAACAAATACACATAAAATTACTTAAAACTGCACACAGTTCCTTTGGCTCCTGTCAAAAAATGATAGCCATTTTCATGCAAGGCATGCACATGCCTAAAATATAAAAGGCACTGTTTTCAATGAAGAGCACACTTTATTACACGATTTTACTTCATTGCTTAGAAATCTGTAAATATAAATATTTTACATTTATATTTTTATATAATTTTTAATTGTTTTTACAAAGGTCAAGAAAGGGAAATAATAAATAAGTTCTTATAAGTGTCCAGACCAATTTTAGAGCAGTGCCATAAGGGCATAAGATATCAACGTCTAAAAACAACCAGAAAATCTCGGCAAAAATTCTTCTTTCGGCCCGATAAAGATGTCATACGAGCTCGGCTTCTTCGACGTATTCCCTTCGACTTCTTTATGGCCATTCGACAATGCCAGGAATTTCTTGTATTAAAATCGAAATGGCCAAGGGCCAGAAATCCACCCCAGACACAGACAATTGTATCTGTGTGCCATGGGGGTAGTGAATATTTGGGCCTGCCGTTGAGTTTTGGCCGTGTCCTTACAGCTGTCAACATGTTTAATTGAAACTGACACTCAGTGTCATTTTATGTACATTGCCATGCGTTGCGTTACCTTAACTGTCACTGTAATTCGACTTGGCTAAGTCCTGCTCCATTATTGCGGGCCATTTCGAAGGGGGGTGTTGGCTCCCCATGTTTTCCCCCTTTTCTGGGGTCGCATTGCATTCCCATGTTAGCTGCTTCTTGTGTGGTGTGTTTGCTAGGTGTATATCCTTGGACTTCCTTCGACTCTTTCAATAAAAGATTGTTTGATTTTAGGAAAAAGAGGTTAATACAAATCAGATATTGGTATATATGCGGTATACAAAATGTTTGTAGTTATGGTTAATAGTTGTAGTTAATTGTTTCATCTATAATTTAAGCCTTTTCAATTTCATTTTTAAATCTATTTATTCAACGCATTTTTACTAGCTGATACCTAATTTCCTTTTATTTTGCATTTTTGTCAAGCTTAAGTTGTTCGTACTGGCAGTCCTGAGATCCCCTGAGTCCTGAGAACAGATCCCCATATCACCCATCCCCAGCCGAATCAGAAGAACTTTAGCCCCTGAAACACTTCAGCAAAATCCCCCAAACTCATCCAAACTGTAATTATTATTGCTAAGCGCAGTCGCCTCGCTTTCGCTCGAGAAACGGAGAAGCAAGCCCTCATTTAATTGCAGACTAGCAAATACTCAAGATATTTTTATGCAGGCAATTCGTATTTTTTCCGTTCGGGGCTTTTCCGCCTTTTCGATAGGGGAAAAGACAGCGGCCTCTTTTGTTTTCGTCACGGACGAGTGGCGAAAAGCAATCACGGCAGCTTCTTGCCAAGGAAAAGCAGAAATATCTTTCGCCGCATTGCTTTATTTACCTTTTTGTTTGTGCATTTTTGCAGGATGTCTTTTGTGTTATTGGTGAAATTAGAATTTCTCATTAAAATAAGTGTTGGCCGAGGGAGCCGCTTGACTTGAGACATTCAAGCGTCTCTACCAGGGCAAGGTGCTCGTCCATGGCAATGGACTTAAGTCCGAATTCCCATTTTCCCCCTCGTTTTTTGTTTATGCATGGTCACTCATTAGTTGAGCTGGAAATCTGACTGGCATTTATATTTGTATCTTTATTTGTTTCCACCGAGAGTGGGGTATATTTTCAGTCCTAATGGCTTTTCTATCCAATTGTGTACAATTCCTAGCGAGTAATTAAAATGGCAACTCTTTAATATTCTGCTCTTGAATGTTTAGAGGTCCAAATGCCCTGTCTTATGCATCTTAAAAAGCAGCTCTAATAGGCCTAACAGGCTTAAAACTGAAACACTTAGCGGTTAAGGGTTACAAAAATACTATTAAATTAATTTCGCTCTGTTAGGCAAAAGGAAACTCTCTAGTAATTTACCATCTGAATAATGATCTTTTGAGGTTCCACCCTTTTTGCAGGCTCAAAAAATAAAAGCCTTGAGCATATAAGTGTTAACTGCTGTATTTTTGACATAGGTTGGGTGCTATAATGGAGCTCTACAAATGATTGAATATTATTGAGCTGATTGCTAATAAGGTCACCTAATGCGGATTACACATACAATACTTCACATCTTAAATAGAGAACTGTGTACCCAATATTGTTATTAAGAGGTACCAATATTTGGTGGAGCAGAGCGTTTTCCTGGCATTCTGGGGACTGAACTGGCACCTTTGCTTTTATGTGAGCCAAACTTTTCGATTGTCCAACTTCATACACCCTGACCACACTCAATGCACCACATGCATCCGTAGAAATTTGATATGGGGCTCAACATTGTTGCAACTTGGGTGTTTGAAGTGCGGGCAAAAGTTTGAGCTTTGAACTTTGGCTTGTTACATTCAAGTGGCTGGCATGTATAAATGTTTGCCTTCCAGATCCACAAAACTTTATGCAAAACACACAAAACTTTACTGAATATGGGCGAACTGTTTGCCCGGCTCTGTTCCCTGTTTTCTGGTTTCTGTTCTCTGGTTTCTGCTATTGTTCTGCGGCTGGTTTGAGTTTTCGCATCATGTGCTGCTGACAAGCTGCGTAATTTCCCCTGTCTCGGGATCTGCAATAATATAGATAAAATACAATTTGCTTAAGCAATTTTTGTTTTAATTAATTCTGTATCACTATATTTTTTTGTGACTCCTACGTGCCCGGAATTTGCCGCTCCTGGCTTGGCTTGGCTTCCGTTTAATGTCTTTACCAAAACAAATTCCGCCCCCCGAGGGACTGCATTTAATTTTTCCTTTCCATTCGCTTTTTTCAGCTTCATTTCGTTGTTTGCTGTGCAGTGTAATTAGCCACCTTCTGACCAAGACAGCTGCTGTTGCTCCTTATATTTTTGTGCTTTTTTCCTATTCCCGGCGGTGCATAAAGAGTTTAAGTTGACATTTTGGACCAACAGTTTGTAATTTTCTTACCCCTTTCTGGGCGAGCCATTACCATTCTTTCTCTACCCTATTTCCTTACTAATTTCTTGCTTTTGTGCATTTACTTGCAGACTGGTTAATTACATTAGCAAAACGGTTGCGATTCTGCTTTGCATTTGCGAATTTCCTTAAGTATTTTTTATAAACGTCATTTGACAAAGCTTGCCAGTCGCATACATTTCATCAAAAATAAACAATAAATATTTAACCGTACTTTCATCGTAAGACACAATAGATTTCTTTAGGGATTGAAGATATTTTCGAAAAAAGCACTTTAAAGTAACACTTTAAGCACTTTAAGTAAAGTAGCTTAAGACAATTTAATGGCCTCGATTTTATTGTAACTTTATTGCAACCCCACATGCTCGATGTAAGTGGATGCGGAAAATTGTAACACGTGATTCAATTTCGCTGATCAATTTTAATTGATTGCTCCAATTGGCTTCTGTGCAAAAGCCTCCTTCTCATCCGCAGCCAACTGCAATGCCATCCAGATTTTTATGTTCATAGCCACTTTATTTGCAGCGTTTTCATTCGGTTTTGGCTGCTGTAGTGTTTTATTTTGCCGATTTTTATGCGTTTTTAATGTGTAGCACAGCTACTCCTTTTATTTCTTGCCCTTTTTTTCCCAACTCGCTTGTAATTCGATTCGTAAATTCGTATTCCAACGGATTTTTATGCATTTCCGCACCAACTTTATGGCGGTATTGTTCGCATATGGGCGTTTGGGAACCGCCCCCTTTCACGTCGTAAACTTTTCCGATTTAATGCCTAGCCGTGCGCCTTAAAGTATGCCACACTAATTAGCATATGAGCTGCGGCCAAGTTGGCCGCAAACTTGCAGCTTATCGCAAATATGCATTCTCAAACCCCGGATGCGATCCAGAAGCAAATGGGCACCATCCATTAGCCATTAGCCATTAGCCGTGGGGCCGTCGTAAACCTAGGACAATATTGACATAATCGACTTTCAGCAGCCGACCGGCGACACAATTAAACCACAAATGAGGCTTAGCCGTAGGGCAATGTCACCGGGGCCGATTACTTCAAAGTCGCCATCCCATCCACCTCATCGCATACCACATCCCATGGTATCCCGAAACCCCAAAAACCCCAAACCTCATCACACGTCACTTGGCCATAGCTCACCTCAAACGACCACAATTCGAAGGGTTTAATTTGTTTTCTCATTTTGGGGCGCCGACTGGTTTACTTAACTTGAAACAATGAGAAATGTGCACTAACCGGAAAGCGGCAAGCAAACCACATGTGGTCGCAAAGGCCACTTTGTATTGCCTTTAAATGAAATTCACTTGTAAAAAAAATAGTTTTCAAAGAATAACAGTATTTGGGAGTATCTATTGATTTAATACATGTTACCACATTTTTATACAAATATGTATTAATTAATCCAATTAAACAACTAACATATTTATTTATTTGAACTGCCTGAAATTTACTACATAGTGCCATCACTTTTAAGTCAGGCGAAAATAAAATAATGCAAAACAACCCCATACTTCCGAATTTATTATAATTAAGAACCCGCGCCTTGGGCTTTTTTAAGCATTAAACATTGACGATGGCCACGCCGTGAATTATGCTCCATCATAAACTTATGCACGATGTACAGATGCCGGACATAAAAATTGTGTAAATGTAAATGAAAATGAAAACTGCGCCCAGTCAGCAGCAATAAAACATTGCGTCAAGTCTGGACCGGGATTAAGATATGGACCTGGATTTCATATCGCTTTAATGGGCGGCGACACCCGGAGAAAGCCACCGTGAAGATCTGCGAATTAAGATAGATAAAAATATGACAGCTGACACTAAAAAGGAGAGACACCAAGTACTCATCATAATTAAAGCCGCGGGGTTGGGTCGCCATAAAAGCCTGCAAGGATTCATATGGATAATTAAGTTATGGCGGGTGCCAACGGAAGGGTTAAAGCCTCCCCGCGATTGCAAACCCAATAAAGCGATCGTAAAACTTTGGCCAAGCACTCGAAATTTCGGGAACATGTTCCTTAGGCGCATATTTTAATTTCAAGATGGATTTTAAAAGGGCCCAAGGTGGCGGGGGGGTCATAAAAGTTTAACTGGACGTTAATAAAAGTGCGTAATCAAATGCACTCATTTCTTGACAGGCGTTTGGCATTTTTGTTCAGTTACAAATTTATTCAGTTTCGATGCCAGCGAGCATTGTATTTTAAAATTTCCGGATTTGAACCCGAAATCCGGTATAGCTGGTAGATTACTTACATTATGTAAATAATCTAAATTTGTTCGCTGAAGCACTTTACTTTTGGTAGTGCTTTGACCTGACATTTATTTGGCTTATTGATTCGTATTTTATTTAAAATCATTTTTGTTTAACCAGCTGGCTTGTTAAATTAGCATTTGCTGTCAAAATAATGCTTTTTTAAATAATTAATCAATGCCTTTGAGCTTGCTTTCAGTATTAAAAAAAAAGATAATAAAAAGCTGTATTTATATACTATTTCATCATTGATTAAAATCGACTTGGAATGCTTGGAAATTGGCTGAAATCATTTCCTATCCCAGCACCAGTCTGTCAGAATATGAAAATCAAGCCACCCCAAACTCGCACCACCAATCAGCCACTGAGTTCAATAGTCTTCAAAGTTCGAACCCCTTTCTGCCAGTTTGAATGCCAGAAACGTATCAGTTGGCAGATAGAACAAACTTTTATGCGCTTGTTAACAAAAGCGTGAAATTCAATGCCCGCGACGAGCTGAAGAGTATGAAAATAAAAGAAAAATTTACGACAATGCGAATTAAACTTGATTTTTATTTAAATAAATTGCATTTTATATACCGCCTGATCCTGCGCCCCGTGGCAGCCGCCATAATCAGCAGGCAACGCTCATAATTTGCACCGGAATTCGATGATGATGCTGGCGGATAATGGGTACTCCGTGGTGGGAGTGTGTGTATTTTCACCAGGATAAGGCCAGGACTAGTCGGGATATGGCAGACCGAATGACTGACTGGCGACGGCTTGGTGGCTGCTTTATGCATTTTTATTTATTACAGCGCCAGGAAATGTTTGTTGATTTTCCGCTGCTCGGTTGCCACAATAAAAATCCACGCCACCCAGAAATTATTTTCTAGACGAACGCGCCCTGCTTAAATCGCATAAAAATGAGCAGGCAAAAAAATACTCCAAATCGTACGGAATTCTTTTTTATATATCATTAAAAACGGAAATGTTGTGCGTCGCAATGAAACGCAAACGCTTTGAAAGGAGCCCAGTGAAACGAATTGATAGGGGTCTATACTGAAAGCTTCATAATGAGTTCGAAGTGGAAAAGTCTTGGTAAATTAAACACTCCTAACAAATTCCTGAAAAAAAGTGCTTTAAAACGAGTGTGCGTCAGTTCGATTGAATTATTAAAGGAGGCATTACTTACAGCAATTATGAGAAACAACCAGAAATTCATTTAATAGATATGTACCCTTTTGGTAGCCAGTATTAAAATGAATACGTATAGTATTTCATAGAATGAAATGAATGGTATACCTTGAAAATTATTAAAATGAAGTATTAAAATGAATACCTATGGTATTTCACGGTATAAAATGAATACATGGTATACCTTGAAAAGTATCCCAAAAAATACTCAAATGACTAGAATAAGCTAAATGTATCTGTACAATTACCTAACTTTATTGACACACGTATTGGCTAAGTGAAAACTGCTGGCTAGCCTCAATCTAGATGCTTAACTCTACATAGATAGGGTTCGACGGTATGGAGGGTGATCACAAAGTTGAGCTTCATCTTCACCTGTCGCTCGCCAAGGGGCTCGAACAGGAAGTTCCTCAGCAGGTGGGCTAGCACCACTTTGAGCATCACCATGGCATACCGCTGGCCCATGCAACTCCGCGCGCCCGCCATAAAGGGTATGAAAGTGGTGGCCTCAATTTTGGGCTCCGCTCCACTCGCCCAGCGATCTGGCTTGAAGACCATCGGATCCGGAAAGAAGTCCTTGCAGCGCCCCATGTAAATTGGGGAAATGATAACATCACTGCCCTTCGGGATGAAGAAGTCATCTGGGAAAGGTGGACCAGTGAAATCATAACAATATTTGTAAATAACTTCGAATGTACTTACTAATTGTACAGTTGGCTGTGGCCTTTCTGGCGGTGAGTGGACCTGAGGGATACATCCGCAGCGTTTCCTTGATGCAAGCCTCTAGAAACTCCATCTGACGCACCTGCTCCATGGTGATGGGTTCCCTTTTGTCCTTCCCACATACCGACCACACCTCCTCGCGACATCGCTGCTGGTGCTCCGGATGAAGAGTCATGTTGTACATGAAGAAGTTGAGGGTGGTGGCCGTCAGATCGAAGCCCCCAAATATGATGGTGTCCACTTCCTCGCGAATATCCTTGACCGTCAATGGTTTACCATCGGGACCCTTGGACAGCAGCAGAGTGTCCAGGAAGCAGTTGGTCCGCTTGACTCCGTCCAATTCCGCATCATTAGTCTGGTAGTTGCGATTCTCAGCATCCTGATTGATTTCGTCAATCCGTTTCTGGATAATGCCCTCTGTGAATCCGTGTAGCGTTTTTATCAGCTCCAGCTCTCGCTTATGGTGCGATGTGCGTTTGAAAATGAACGAGTTGCGGTAGAAGATGTTCTTCAGTCGCTTATCGATGATCACAAGGATTCTGTGAGCAAACGAAGTTGCAGAAAATCAGTTTTGATAACTATTAAATGTTACTTGCATATATGACTGCTAAATAAATAAATAACGCAGCTCTGTCGAATAAGCCATAAAGCTTTCTATCATGGGTTGTGCAACTTTTATTGAACTAACGTGTTAGATGTGTCCTTTATATCTTCTCAAGTGTTTGTTTTGTTTAATTAATGTGCGAAAATTATATCTTCTCAATGTTTGTTTTGTTTAAATAATGTGCGAAAATGTATGAGTAATCACCTCTTATTTGCTGACTAAAAACAAACTGAGTACATTTCTGTTAGATGCTACAAGTGTAGTTTACTTACGATTTAACAGCATCGAGGTAGTCCGATTTAGCGCTCGACTGCGAGCCCACAGAGACTCCGAGGGCAGTTTCACAAATAGTGTCCAAAGTGAAGCAGCTGATCAGCTGAAGGAAGTCCATTTCGTCCCCGGAATCGGCAAATTTCGTGACATTCGACAGGAGAATCCTCGACTGCTTCTCAAAGACGGCCACAAACTGTTTGATCATGGTGTAGTTGAAGGCCGGCATTACGATCTTCCGGCGATGGGACCACTTCTCGAATCCGCTGGTGAAGAGGCCCTCGCAGAGCCAGTTCTCGAATACCCTGTAGTCGTTGGTCTTCTGCAGCAGCTGCTGTGCACTGCACAGAGCCTGTATATCCTTGGGATTGCAGTCCACCAAGTAGAGCTTGGTGCCCATCCACAGTTTGCCGCGGTGATCCTTCAGATGGTTGGTGATTATTTCGGTGGCTCGTCGCAGCGGATGCGGTCCAACCAATTGGGCTAGGATGTGCAGATGGCCAATGAAAGGCAGCGCCGGTGGAGCCGGCCACTTGTGGGTGAGGCGGTCGATCCTGCTCTGCCGCTCGAAGACATATAGCAGGTATAGGGACAACGCGATCAACAGCAAACCGAATCCGAGCCAGAACATTGCGACGGACGTTCTACAGAGCAACTGCGTCGATGCGTTGTCTCATCGAGCGTTTTAAGCGGAACACAGACACAGATCAGACAGTTACTAGAGGGTCACCGGACCCAAGGGTCACAACAGTTGGGTAACAAGCGAATTTACACAAGAAAAAACTAATCGAAACGAGACACAGTGTAAATTTAAAAAATAGTGTACAGCGACATTATTCTCACAAACTGTTATTTACCGTAAAAAACTGTAAAACATTGCGCTATTTGTTTCGTTTTTGATTGGTAATATTATTTGTTATTTGGCCTACATCAATTACGGATGTACATTTTATGACTTTTTATGTGACACCAGCCTATTTCAATTCATAAACATACCTTTCAAAAGTTGAATAGTAATGAAATTAAATCATTTCACTCTAATAATATAATAATAGCCATTTAGTAAGAGCCATACACGGTAGTAAAGGCGGTGTATTTAATTTGTAATTATTTTTCCTGCTTTTCGCATAGTAAATAATAATTATCAATAACCACTATGGCTCTCTTTTTTTCGAGTGCAGAAACTAAACGATCTTAAATATTCTGCACTGCAAATATTAGTATTGCGCAAAAGCGCCGATTAAGAGCAACTGTCGGGTCGACTGCGGTATTAACACTGCGCATATTTATTTATACGAATTTCGTACACCCCAATATGTATATTATATCCGTATTCAAATCGATGTGGCTGCGAAATTGAAGTGACTCTTTTTGCTCGCCCCCAGTCGCTTAAGTACTTAACATCGGGCACCGGAGATGTAAACAAAACGTTGTGAATCAGAATCGTAGAGTTCTAAGTCGGATTCGCAATGCTCTTGGATAGCAGTGCTAAGTTCTTAAAAACGTGGGTTTTTTATTTTTTAACTTGAAGTTTTAGTATTGAGCATTATAATGTTCCATATACCTTAGAGGAATACCAGCAGATGAAAGTATTTGAAAACTATGCACCTACAAAGGCAATTTTCCAACCTTTTTCAAAAGTTGAGCTTATAGAGGGACTTTTTTTACTAGGGCAATTCCAGTGAAACTCAAGATACGTCGCGCCAAAATACGTAAACAAATACACTTCAATTTCATCGATGCTGCAGGCCCATTACCTTTTTGTTTAATTCGCTGAATTATAATTACGATTGTACTTTTGCCGATTGCATACCAATTTCATAAAGCTCATAAAACTTGACGAATGATTGCGTTGGGACCACCCAGTTATGGATATACGTGTAGAGAAATTGTGATTTTAATTTCCTAAAATGTTAGAGAAAAAGCTTTAAGAACTTTGCTTACAGCAAGAACCGTGATTTGGGAATTGCAAAGTGGATGGCCTGGAAATTGATTAGTTTCCTACCACAACAATTGTCATATAGATAAATACTTGGAAATATGCCAATACAAAATATCAGAGCAAATACAGTTAACGTACGGGAAGTGAATTTTCATTGAGTGAAATTAAAAAAAAGATACAATTAACTGAGTCGTCAGCTAAGGACAAAAAAAAAACGGTCAAGTACCGAGCTTTGACTCCCCCACATTAATGGGTAAACAGTGTGTCATATTTGTCAATTATAAAATATCTGTTTTATTTTCCTTATTACGCATAGAATACACATTCATTAAAATTTGCTCTCCAGTTATGGGAACTTTATTGTGATTGGCATTTAATACACTCTTCAGGAGTGTGTGTTGTTGGTTTTCCACTCGTCCAACTGCCATTCAATTCAAATGTACAAATAGTGACAGGTAGAATAACTAAGGTAGATCCCCTGCCCTATGCTTACACTAATTAACACGAAAAAAGTTTTCAGCCAACCAAATACACAATGAATGAACAAGAGTAATTGTAATTAAAGCGGATGGAACTGGGCAGCAATTAATATTTGCTGGTCAACATTTTATACAAAAATAATTCATCCTTCTTGTCTACTCGTATACATACATATCTGTATGTTTCAGTTCCCTTCTCTTCCGGCGCTTTTAAATTTTTATTTAAATCAGAGGACAAATGAATGACACGCGTATGATTTTAATTAAAATCATTTTAGTAGGCTCATATTGCAGATGTGTATTCACAAAAAAGGTATATCGCAAATGCGTAAACTTAAATAGTTTAAAATAGGAAAACAATTATTAATAACGAATCAATCAATTGCTTGAATTGATATCAGCAAAAAGGTGTTATTTATAACACAATTTAAAAGTGCATCTATATTGTTAGTTATCAAGAGAAAATGAAAAAATGTGCAGCATACTTTGGGTATAATTTGGCAGCTCATAAAGGCTTTGTAAACGCAACTTTAAGTGCACAAGTGGATATTAAGATCAAATTGGTTTCGTACAAATAAAGTGTGAATTTAAGTTTAAATGTAGTGTGGATATGAATATCCTAAAATACGCCACATGCGCCCATAGAAATTCAATTCAATGCCTCCGCATAATCGCGGATGCCACTCAATGCCACTAATCGGAACTAACTGGACAAAGCACGACAATAGCCCTTTGAAGTCGAGGCGAAGCCCAACAATTGCATTCGCGTAAATTCCTTATCTAATGGACGCCAATAAACAGTGAGCCCCTCGCACACGAACAAATCGCTTGTGGATATATGCGAGGACATAATGCAGTTATGCACCTGACAGGACCAAGAACATTGTCTCACATGGAAATTAAAAGTGATGCGTGGCCACGAAAGGGGGTTCAGTAGGCGGCTTTAAAAGGGTGAGTCCTATGGGGTGAAAGGTGTTTCAATGGTTTGGTGGACGTTGCGATGGGGCTGTACAAACTAATTTGAATTTATGCAGCAAAGTGTTAGCCATGCTGATGAGTACTCTGTGTATGGCTAAATACTTGTATGGTCACAAGTATTACTTCAATGCCCGGAATGGGCAATCTAGAATCCACTTAGAATCTCACTTATTATATTATATTTTAAGTATGTATTTCTTTCAATCAAGTTTTATTTCTGTGGTTCTGTGGCTGCGGCTAGGGTATTTGGCTATCGAGTGCTGGTGAACCCGATCGTCCGCTCATCATTGTTGTTTGTGGGCCTCGGTGTTCTGTAATTAAACTGCAAATTATCAGCCACGACACTCACACATGCCTCGACCACTCAACTGAGGCATTTCCAAGCACCCACCCACCACATGCACCACATAATTATGCAGACATTTCCAAGTCGAGGACGAGGCAGCTGGATGGGCTAGGAGCCAGGAGGCAGAAGGCAGGAGGCCGTGGAAGGGACCGCCCAGCTGTCACTTTGTGTTCTGCTTTTGTGTAAAATTTAATTTGGCTACATTTAATTATTGTTTATGTACGGCTTGTCCATGTCGCTGTCGCTGCCATCCAATATTGTCATATTATAAACAACGATAATTTGCCAAATGCGAGGCGATTGGCTAATAGATATCTGCCAGTATCTCCATCTCTCGGCAAAGGTAAGCCGAGCAAAGCCCAAAGGGCAACCGCAAGTGGGCGAAGGATTACACTGGCAGAAAAAATAATGCTTTTGAGTATTTATAAAGGAAATATTTTGCCAAGTGTACTTAACCCAAAGCAATGGTATCCAAACTAGTTGGCTACTTGCTTTTACAAATTATATAGCAATAATAAATTTGTACTGGATAAACTTGCTTAAATGCATACATATGTTTCTTATACATTTGTTGTTCTTATTTTTATATTTTTTAAGATATAAATTAAAATATAAATTTGAACAATTAAAACAGCAATAATAAATATGTTTTAGATAAACATGCTTAGATGAATACGTTTCTTTCACAGTTTTTGGCCCTATTTTTATATAATTTGACTTCTTTTTTAAATTAAACTAAAATTGTATTTAACATTTGTTCACGGTGTATAATTCCTGCACTAATCGCATGTTGTGTCAACATTAATCGCATCAAATTTAATTTCACAATTAAATGCAAAGACGCGACGCGTTTAGCATAAATTAGGCGGGCTGTAAATGGAAGCCGCGGGCGGTGTCCTTCACTTCCCCCGCCCGCCCCTGCGGTCCGCGTTCATTTTTCCGAGGTGTTTGAGGCGCTTTCCGCACGGACCGCCCATCCTGAGGAAGTAAAAAACGGCGTGCACCACCAAGACTCGCCGGCTGCTTCCGTTTCCGTTTCTCTGGCGGGGTTTGGGATCTTCAATCGGTTGGTGTTACGTGCGTATTTATTGCTTCAACTTAATTTAATTGACAGACCAATCTAAGGCTTCATTAAGCTCGGGGAATTAAATGTCTTTCATTAGCGAATGCTGATTCAATTAAATCTCGCTGGCTCTTTAAAGTCGTTAAAATAGTATACGAGTATATAACAATACATAATCCCTTTAAATGTTATACACCACATTCTTGTCTCTAGTGTCCAATAAGTTATAAGTTTGTCCATTTGATAATTATATTTAATCAAATTATTAACAGTGGCTTTTATTCTTTAATTTATTCATCTAAGACGATGAATTTTGCTTTTGTAGTACCACATGGACTCCAGATCCTGTTAAAAATAAATATGAAATTGTCTTTAAGCCATAAGCTGATCGATCCAATGAACTTTCGTAAGAGTGCATTGTTGTATCTTCATTGTCAGTATAGCAATGAACCAGATTTGAGTTGCGCTATAATAGGAACTTGTTTAATATGTTCCCATTCATAAAATCCGTTTCATTTAACTAATTGTACATTTGTCATGCTGAGAATAATAGTGTAAAAAACTCATAATCTTGGTGTAATCCTCAACACTTTTTATTTAAATTAAATAAACTTGTACAAAACGCGAATTTTTTAGTTGCACAAGCCATTCTGCCAGTTCTCTCAGAAGATATTACTTCAAAACCCGTTTAGCTCGACTAAGTTCACATGCAACACTTAGGCCGCAATCTGACTTTTTCTTACCAAAACCTCTTAATATTCAATCTTGACTTTTATCCTGATCAAAATGATGTGCCAACATTTCGCATTTGGCCGAAGAAACCTTAAACTTAATCAGCTCATCAGACCCAAAGGTGTTTGGCGGCATTAAAGTAAAAAATAATTTTAAATTACCTTTATTTAAGCCGTATGCTTGGCTGCCCCGCCAGTAATGAAGTCTTTTTTCTCTCTTTTTACCTCGGGCTTATATGGGGTTTTCGATGTTTAACCTTCGAGGCGCAAACTGTTTTTTATAAACGAGCATTTCGTTCCACATACTCTTCTTGGTAGAAAAATTGTTTACCTATACGAATCGTTTTGTCTACAAAGAAATACACAAGTTGCATTTCCTTTTTTTGTATTTTCTTAGTTTTTCGGATTTTACAAACCTCATTCAAATATGGATATAAAATACATATTATATTATATTATACATATATTATATAGATTATTATTATACATGCTATATTATTAAATGTATGTATGTATATCTATATATATTGCATATATTATTATATTGCATAAAATATTATATTCTCTTTTATCAGGCCTTCCGTTCATTTCGCATTGACATTATTAGGGTATGCAATAGCTTACTAGAAACATCTCATTTAGTTGGGTTGTTTTTTGGACAGGGCGTCGTTGCAAGTGAAGGACAGCGGCAACTGCAATTTGAAGGCAAGCAAAACAAATGAATTCTGGGAGCCGAAGTCACCGCGGGGTGAATACTTTTTGCAGCTGTTCTGAGCGAAGTTCCCAGTGGCACAGACAACTCTCAATTACCCCTTACTTGCAGCCTCGACTTGCTGGCTTCATTTTTGGTGTTGCACTTGAAATAAACTTGGCCTAAAATCTGAAAGGAGTAATATTAATAAATTACTATGCTTATTTGAATCGTTTATTGCGATAATTTGTCTATTAGCACCATTTTTATTTTGGTTTTAATATGATCTGTGCACATTTTAATAGATTTCTAGATTTTCAATCGATTGTTTTCCTAAGTATGAACTTTTTTTCTGTATAATTAATGTAATAAACTGAGTACTTTTGGTCACATAATTGATATTTTTGGCCAGTGGGACACATTTTCGTTCTTACTTGGCCATTAGTATTGGGTAGTTGGTCAACTTCAAGACTTGCAGTTAGCAGTGGCAGTTGCCTCGACTTCTCGGCGATTGCACTTCGCTTGACTGCAATTTGGCCAAGTTAAGCAGGGGAAAAAGTTGTCGCTGTTCTTGTTGTTACCTTTAATTTGAGTACGTTTCGGTGTTGGTTTTTATCGTGCTTTTTTGGGTGATTGTTGGCCACGGCTAAGTCACGTTCCGATTGCGCATTTATCGCATTTAACTTGCCGTCCGGTTGGTTAAGTTTCTTGGCCAAAAAGTCATTCTCCATTCGGCGGCTCCTTTTTTTGGCCATTGCAACATTACTCGCAATCGGCAGTGTCGTTTATTTTATTTTATTTACTTTTTGCTGCGTTGCATAGTGGGCTTCTTCAACGCAATCATAAATCTGTCAGCGGCCACCCGATGACCTTTCTACCTGTTCGATAAGCACTCATTTTGCAGCTGTCCTGGTCATTGTAAAGCAATAAAATCTGAGGAAGAACCCAAAATATTTACAGGCCTACTAAGTGGCCTACGTGACGGGCACGCGACTGACTTCATCAGTCCATTAGCAAAGAATTATGTTCGCTTATTCCTAGGTGATGTGAGTTCTATTATGAATTCCAAATCCTGGATGATAATCTTTGTAAGAAGAACATATACACACACAATTTTGACTGTACCTATAACATTTAATTCTTAAATATATACACATGCTCTGCATACTTTTGTATGGAAGGGGTATCAGCACATGTTCGAAGTTAGAAAAGGTTTGTTTTCAAGGTTAAAGTCAACATTAATAAATATGTTTTAAATTGAATTTACTCTTAGAAATACTTAGCAAAAATCCTTTTTTTTACAGCTATTTAAAATGACCTACATTTGAGGTATTTTAATTTTAAATTTGAATTTTATTTATGTCGAGCTCTACATACTGCACCATTTTACCAAAGAGAAATATAAATATATCTTGATTATTTATTAAAGATAATAGATATATCTTATATTTTCAAAAAGTATGGTACTAAAACATAATATTTGGAAATCTTAATATTTTTCCAATTATATATCAAGTCCCGCTTGTATTTATAAATGTTATGTAGTTAATTTTATTTCATTTACAAGGCAGGTGCAAAAATTGTATATTTCTTTCGATATTTTCTCCGCAACACCGCGAGGATTTTCATTATACAGGTCGCCAAACTAAGTTGTCCACAATTCCCCATCTGGGGTCATTAGCACGGTCGGGTATCGAACCCATGCGTTGCCCACTTTAGTGTCTGTAACTACTGTGGTACGTGAGTTAGCAAGTGACTTGCTTTAGTCAAACCTTTTTCTCAGCCGAGTGGTTGTGGCTGTGGTTGCGTCTGCTCGCAGACATTTTGCACGAGCGAATGCGGTACAGTGGGTACTGTAAATGGATCGCCGAACAGCAGGTACTCCTCTCCGGTGAGTATTTGCTGAGAGCCTCTCTCGGAAACAGCTGTACCTGGGCCGCCTTTGCCTAAGTATGGCTTGATTCGGCTCTCCGGCTCTCGGACTCTCTGCGCTTCCGCTCCCGCTCGCGACCAGCTGATCGTGTGAGCCTAACATTGGTGTTATATCTTGGAGCCGCTTCAGTTCAGTGGCATTGCAACTGTTGGCCGAATCGGACGTACCGCTGCACTTGGTAGAATTCTTGCTGCCTGTGGCTTTCGCGTGTGTTACCTGTACCTGTATTTCGGTTTTACAGTTACTAACGAGTTATGTGCGCTTGAATGCCAAATTTAATTGTCGCTCTTTGCATGCTCGCCAGCAGCGTTTTTGAAAACGTTTTCGTGAAGCGCTTAGGAAACTACTTTCGTTTTCCCCCCAACTTTCCATTTTCTTGCTCGTCGGCTTGCCATTGAAAAAAGTGTCAAAACCCAAGTAGTGCTAATCACCCAAATCAGAGATAAAACATTCGAAAAAAAAAAAAAACAAAACGGAGTATATACAATTGCGAAACGCGTGTGAATTGATCGAGTTTTGGATTATGGCTCTCATGGACACCGCCTGGCGTTGTCGCCTCATGATCTTCGGCGTCGTCTCGCTGCTGCTTGTGGGCGATCTTTTTGTATACGGCGGCGGCATGAAGTCCAACCACCCCAATCCCCACTCGGTGAGATCGGCGGGCGGCGCGGGGCAGGGGGGCGCCCCAACGGGTCCGGCGGCAGCAGCGGCCAGCAAGTTCCAGACCAAAAATGCCGAAATCGACATAACCGAAGGTTAGTTTTGCCATCCACTTTATCTTGTTATTGCTGTCTTACCATTTTGCCATATTACATTGACAAAATGTTTCACTCGCTGGGCATCTTGGCATCGCCAAATTTTTGGGCATCAAATTTCGCTAATATTTGGTATATATTTCAATCTTAAACTCGAAATATTCAATATATTAACTATGCAACTTTCATTCGAACTTGGAACAATCACATTTACCAAAAACGTGATTTGCCATTTCAGCATTTATTAAATGCGTTTACTTATGCGCTTATACAACTAAAGAACATATTGAATAATCGAGTTCATGTTCACTTTAAACGTTTTCAAAGGTAAATTATCTATACACTTGCAATCTTTCATTCTATCTGACTGTTTTGTTGTAACTTGGTAACAACGTTTAAAAATAGAATAATATTACCTAGTACATTAAACCCATTACTGAAGTGTTATACCATCAACACTGTTCGTAAACGAAAAATATTTTCAAAGTTTTTAGGTATATCACACACCCATCGCATGTGTTTGGACTTATCAAGGTTAATTTCGCTTTATAAATGAAGCTTATACTCGTAGAATGCTGGTGGCACGTGTAAGCCTCACTTCGGGCTTAAATGTTTAATTAGGCTTTTTGTTAGAGGTAGGTGAAAACCGGAACTGGGGACGGTGAGACTAATGAACGATTGTTTATTACACACGTGTAGCTAGCCCTGAAAAGTATTGATGTCGATTAAAAAATACATTAGAGGCTTAACGCATACATCAACATTTTACCTGGATAAATAGATCTTCCATTTGGACAACATTCTTTAGTTGCGTTTTCAGCACAAGGAAGTTAGTACTTTGTGGTGGGCACTTTATCAAAGAGAAACACATTAACTCCTAATGATGCGGTTATTACGAAGATTTCTTGGTAATTCTCGATATATTAGACAAAACTTTTCTAGGAAATGTTTCGAAAAAATTCCTATAGCTGTGCTAAAAGTGTGTAGCATAATAAACAGATACACCAGACAGCAAAAGTTTCCATAAACTACAAAAAAGTCATTACGCTTTTTATGAGCTAGCTTTAAAGGAAAGTGACTTCATTGCTCGAGTACTTCATTTGAATTGCTGAAAACATGAAAACTATTATCTACTTAAATAAATGTAGCCTGAATTTAATAGAATGTATTTATTTAGTCTAGCTAAAATTTGGCATGATACATTTTTGCACGAAAGTCTGAAAATTATTCAATCTATCATTCATCGCAATCGAAGTTCATGTTCAAACCGATCGTTAAAGAGCTCTCAACGGCGATTTGAATACACTTCTTCGTCGCCTCGCCACTTTCTCGTTGATTTGCATACACAATATCGAGCCCTATTGTATGACATAACATTTGGGCATTGCACAACAAAAGTCGTGGCTAAACACGAAACCGGAAAAGATACTCAAACGAATGTGTATAGAAGCACTAAAACCTTAATAAAATCAAAGGAAAGTCCAGGTTGAATGAACAGGGCTTCAGCATTTACTGATATATTTTTTATTAGAAATTTAAATTGACTTAATATACATGAGCTTAGGGGCAGTGTAACAAATATCGAATCAAATATCCTATCAGTTCTATCCGGCTTCAAATCCCAACATAAAAAACATTTAAGTATACAGAAAAAAAATATTGCAGGCTTTCCTAGCATGTTCTATTACAAATAATAACAGCATGATGCATATTAGCTTGATTTTGTAACACTTATAGAAAGTTTATGCTGTAAATTGAAAGTAAATTGAAGGCAGTACAATTAAATAATTGCAACTTCCCTTCATCTCAATTGACAAATCTGTGTGTTTCAATATGCTCAATGAGCCTAACCCCCAAACCATTTCACAGTTCATTAGGACGGCTGAACCGTCTCCAAGTCATTGGAAGTTGCCGAAGCTGGTATTTCTTTTGTGTTTCTTGGAGTGAAAGTGGAAAAATGCCAGGCAAATAAACTTGACGTAATAAAACTCCACGCGAACAACAAGTTTTCGCTTCGCATGTCGAAAAAGGAGGGCATTAAATTGCATCGAAACTTTCCCAGACAGCAGCAGTTCATTAGCGTGTGGGCCAGGTCCAAAAGTTGGGCTAAGAATAGGTTTTCTCCCAATATACCAGTTTCAGAAACGATGTCTGGACAATGTGAATATTTGTACACTCAGTTCATTTTTCTAGTTTGCTCACTAGAACAGGAAGTGATAAAGCCTTGACTCGTTTTGTGATATTTATTTAATCGAACTAAGCCAAGTCACTGGCTTCGGTTTGGGAAATATTCTGCCAAATGGCCGGCCACAACCGGTTCCGATTCCAGACGTAATCCATTCAAACCGAAGAAGTTGTTTGAGCTGGCCTAGAGTTCAACTGAAAGGGAGAGTGAGTTGATATCTATGATCTTGGGTGTTTGAATACTCACGTTAATCGCTTGTAAATGCTATGCAAGCTGTATCACGTGCCCTTCCAATCTTCCCATAGCCGATGGATATTATCTGAATTGACAATTTAAAATTGACAATTGACAAAATAAAAAGAACGAAATACACTTTGCTGCAACCTTTAGCTGGTGAATGCAGTGCGTGACAAACATTTCGAGCTGGCACTTCCATTCGCATTGATTTCCATTCAATTAAGTGCACTTGGAAATCGATTCCACCGAGGAGACACAACAGTCCAGACAGAATAAATCTGAATAATGTGAGTTTTAGCATTTCCAAAGAGCCATGTCTGATGTATTAGGCTTATTATAAGAAATGCCTTGGCTATAGCATATGACTTTAAACCTGTATGCAGAAAAATAATAGGTGTTTAATTTTCAGTAATAGCATGTTAGCAGAAACAATCAGATTGAATTTGGATTTTCACACCGCGATAGGGTTTTGCTTAGGTTCCGCATTCAAAGTTCAAAATCCGTCAAATCCAGCTGCCTTACTTGGTAGTAGCATAATGACTATTCGACTGAAGACCATAATTAATAATTAATACAACTGAGCGTTGAATGACTGACAAATATGCAAAGTAAAGTTCAACGCATTGACTTGGCCTTGTCGGGGCATAGAATTGTTTAAAAAGTGTTGGATGTATTCGCAACAGCTGACCGTCTCCATAAAGCCAAATAAATATTTGGCTTACTCACCGCTGTGTACTCAAAAAAAAAAAAAAAAACAGAAATTCGATTTGTTTATACGCTTTCCACACTCTCAATTTCTACCTATACATGTTTGTCTACCTGCATATTTGCTCAATTGTTCACAATTTGTTGTGTTTTGTTGACAATTTGTTCTAAGCCATAGTCCTAAGCCATCTATTAGTCATTGTTTGGCTTAGGATTCGGATTTGCCAACCTTGAAGTTGGGGTCTCCGTTTTGCGCAGTTCCCGAAATCCAGTCTTAATTTGAAAGCAGTTTGCTATGCAAATGAGCGCCAGCGAGTAAAACAAATATCCCAAATGCCAAATCTGATGGGGCCATCCCCCGATTAATACACATGCCTAACTTAATTGTGGATTTTTTTAGAGCACGAATTCAATGAGATCTCAGCAGCGGCTCAATCCCTCAAGCCGGAAATGGCAGTGGTTACTGGAGCTAGCCTGAAGACCAAGTCCCAACTCACGGACACCATCAAGGAGTCGTGTCTTCCCAAGATGCTCTGCGAACTGGCCTCCAAGCCGGAGTACCAGCTCAGCGAAAGGGAGCGGGAACTACTGAGACTGATCAGGTAAGAAACACACTGAGCGAAATCATAAAAGGTCACAAAACATGTTCCATCGGCAAAGAGTGTACAAGTAATGGGTAGTATCTAGGATATTCAAAACAAAGGTAAATAGAGTAGTTGTTAAGTTGTCTAGTTTAAATATTTAATTTGCCAGGCATTGTTAGAAAGCGGAGTAGGTTTGTTTGCTAATTTTCTGGCGAGACAACAAAATAATACTCAAATAATACTTGAGATTCTTAGCTTTCCTACTATTAGACGCGTTTTATGTGCATTTTTAAAGTTGAGTTACTGTTTCTAACAGAGCAAATAACTAAGCAAACACAACGAACACATCAATTTATGGATGTTTTAAAATGTTTTTGAAACCGGTTAGTGATGACTTGCACAAAATGTCGAAGAGCATTAGCATAAAATAATATTAGTTTTCAATAAATAATAAGGCTTGTTAGAAAAGCTTAAGATGACAACAAATTTTTTTTTGAATTTAAAAACATATAATGAATGTGAAATAAGATAAATTATGATGCAGTTTTAACAACATGTTTCCAAACACAAAATCTTAAAAAAAATCGTTAAACATCTGCCGTATGTTTTTTCGGATAGCATTTTCTTAAATTGAAAAAATGCAAACACCTATTAGTATGTATCGACTTTATGCATTTTGTGCCTGATTAATTGGCCAGGAATCTAAACGAATATTTGTCCGTTAACTGCAACAAGCAGAACCAGTTGGAGCTGATCTACCAAACATTTGCATGCCAAGCGATTACGAAAGATTCCAAACAGGTTTCGAAGGGTTCGAGTCTAGCATTGCAATCCATTGCAATCCATTTAATTGCGATTAACGTTGCTGCACACCACAATTATTTATTTACGAGTATTTACCCAGTGGATGACTCAATCCACGAGCAAGGTGCAGAACTTGGGGAAACAAAAGCGCCAATTGGGTTAGCAAGTGCGGCAGATATTTAAGCCACGTCTAGGCCCATGGATCAGCAGTCGTAACCTACCTCAACTTCAGCTGTAACCTCGCACTTGAGACGAAGGTGAGGCGGCGAAGCTAATGTAAAAGTCAGGCCAGCTTTATAGAGTCGACTAAGTCAACAGCAAGGTGAATGGCTGAGGCACTCTAGAATCTAGATAAACGAAAAACAAAAAACCGAAAAACTGCCGAAAGCGAAACTTGAACAAACTTTAAGCACACAGCCAGGCGAAGCGTGAAATGATAATGGCTTATTATAATATTTAACATTTGCTCAGTTGTGTTCTTCGGCTGCAGTGAAACTTCCGTCTAATGTGCCCACTATTTGCAGATCGCCAACAATGCCCTGGATGATGAACATGCCGCCCAGCAAATGGTATTTCGCGGCCCACATGGGCGAGCTAATGCGCCACACCGGAGACAATCTCAGCGGACCGATGGGATGCGCCAATCTCTGGCCAAACTGCCCGATCAGCTCCAAGAAGCTGATGAAGATCAGCTACAAAGTGAGGACCTAGCCACTGGATCCGCGCCCCAAGTATTAGGATGTAGGATTTAGGCCGCCTCAACTTGTGTACCATATGTCTTCACCGTTCGATTAGCTAGCCTACCTTGTAAATTACCTTAAATTTAGATTAGATTAGATTAGACTAGACCTTAGTCCCGACTTGACTGAAGTGACTGTAGAACTGTAACCTCTTGTATCCGTATCTTCTGGCTACAAGTCCTAGGTAGCTTGTACATACTAATAGTACGTGTGACTAGTCACGATCTGATTTAGCGTTACGCCTTAGTCATAAGTTGGATGCTCCTGTAATTGTTAATAAATTACACTCTTGTGTGCGAACTCCCTAATTGCCTGCCTTAATCCATCTTAATTGTTGCCATATCACCTTCGGGCGATTTGTGAAATGACTTTGATAAAAACTTTTTAACTTTTTTAAACACTTTTTATTCGGTCTACCAAGTTCATAGTTGTGCGGGGCTTGTAATTGCTAGGAAGCGATCGACCTGCTGGCAATGAAGTCGTATTTTTAGAAATTGTTATGCAATGGAAGGTTGCCTTCGTCATCAAATGTGGCCATCTACTATTGTAGATTTCTCGTTTGGCTGGGTGGAGTTTAATTGGCCTAGTGTAATGTGACTTAAAGCGGTATATCGCATGCTCAGTCTGATGCGAAGTCCATGTTTTCAAATATGTTGATTAACATGAGCTGCGTGCATTTTTGATAGAGTATGACTGAAGTGAAAACAAAGTAAGCAGATAATGTTAAGATTACCTGTTAAGATTACCCTGTTTTGAATTTTTTATATTGGATGGAAGGTGATATATTAAGCTGAATTGCTTTTATATATGATTTTGTTAGAAAATAGTTCTTCATTTTTCCACGCGAGTAACATGCATTTATTTATCCCAACTTGTTTTTTATAAGTTAAGAAAAGAATAGTTGTTTGTAGATAGTTTATAAAAAACATTCGGTTAATTATTAAAACAAATGTTTTTAGCGCATACTTTCAGGCGCGGTTCCAAATTTTTACCACACACCTTGAACGTCAAATGAACTAAAAACAAAGCCGAAGATTTAAGTGCACACTTTATATGCAAATTCGATTACCCAAATGGCATTGTGCAAAAAAATTAGAATATTTTTCGCTTTGTTTACAATTGTTTCTCTGGTCAATTATGTATTCACAGCACAATTTCCACAAAAAATCGAATGGACATGCGGGTGAAATTGGCGAATTATGACAAACATATTGATGGCTGAATTAAAAAAACTCTAGAAAGTAAACAAAAACCAGAAATTATTTTTAGATTTTTAGATTATACATAAATCAGTCAGTGACACGAGGCAATAAATAAGCAAATCCACGGAGGGGGTAGTGAAAACGCGAATTGAAAATCGATTCCTAATTGAAATTCCAATTACATACGCGCTCAGTTTGGCAACAAATTTAGCCAGAAATTGCACAAGGAGTAAAACAACAAGAGTGAACATATTCGTAATATCAAACAGAAATTGGGTCAGATTTGTTTAACTGTTTCAGCATATTTGTTGTTACGCTAGTTGCGTGTGCCCAACTTTCATTGTTTGGCTTGGCCCAAATTTCATGTTTGGCTTAAACCCGGCTCAATTTCTGCTTTTGGCCTGACGTTTGACAAGTTGTTTGGCTTATGCAATCCAGCAGGGGGTGGCTTGAATTATGGGAGGACCAGGTGTACCAGGTGCAATTGCATTGTCCCAGACTTCTGTCTGGTTTCTTTCTTTCTTTTCATAATTTCCGCATACTTGGCGCACCGAAAATGAAAGCAAAGATTTGGCAGCAGCTTTACTCGAACGAAACTTTAATACTCTTTGCTACCTTCAATATGAAACTGAATTAAAACCCTTCAGAAAAATTTATATCATTACAGTATGATATTCCAATTAGATACAAATTTAATACCAAATTACAAATGGCAGAATTGAACGTTTTTCCCAAAAATATATCATTAGGAGTCTGCTCATGAAATAATAATCATATGCTAGCCTTAATGGAAGAAATGCATTTTAATATTCCGTCTCTTCACAAAGAAATCTTCGGCTGGCATTGGTGCTCAAATACTCAAAGTAAGAGTGTTCACTATTTCGGCAAAACTGGAAAAACTCGAACATTTCCAACCACAAAAGCTGCATTTCCCAACCTACTTTCCTGCTGCACATCAAGAAATATCATAACCGAGGAGAAAATCAAATGTGCGGTAGATGTGCGCAAATGTAAGGCAAACTTTGCATCAGTGACGAGGAAAAGCGCATTTTCCGTAGCGGTAGTTGTAGCGTTTACCAGCGAAGTGCCGCTTGCGAGTGTTTACTGTGGATGGGATTACGATTACGTAACTCCGGCGACGGCTACGTGATCTGGTCGAAGTGTTTTCAAACGGGTCCCGGCTACTTGGCCAACTGACTGATTGAACCACTCTCTGATGCACAATTGCCTCCAGTGAATTATTCTTATTACTGGAGGCCTCTTAGCATCTGCACAGTTATTCAAGCTGGATTTCCTCGATGCCGATTTGATTTCCTTACCTCACTTTTCTCTGATTGTTAACCTGGCTAAAGGCACGTGCTCCATGCCAGCGATTGATAACCGATTTGGCAAACACGAGCATAGGCATTCAGGCATTCAGCTAACTTCAATGCTGATAATTAACTGGGCCAACACGGCAATGGTGAATGGGGGGATTGGCTAAGCAGTATTAGATGTGCCCGTTTATTACTGGAACTAGTTCACATTTTTATTAAGTTAAATAGTGAGTAATAAGTAATAGATTCCATTCCCCCACCAACAACAATTGAGCGCTTTATTTGAAACTTTTGAGGTTTAAATGCTCCCAATTAAAATTCTTGATTTGAAAATCTAAAATATATTGGCTGGCTAACTGAAGCCGCTTAGAACTGAACTTTCGACTGTCTCCCATTGTGATTTGTTTCACCTCAAGTTTTCACCTGTTGCTGGTCGAGTTGGCCAAGTTGTCCCCTTGACCCTCAAGTCAAGCTAATCCCGGCGAAACCAATTGCTCAAATCACTTGCCCATTTAGGAAATCTGGCCAGCAACACCTCTCCTAACGGAAATGAGGTAATTGATATGCAAGCCAAGCGCCAAAGCCAAAATAAAACCGCCAAAGTAAAGAGCATGCAAGGAAACACCGACGAGCCAACTGCGAATGCCCCACACATTTGCCTCAGAGATTTCATAACCCCTCATAATGGGCGAAACATATGTATGCCCGACTTTATACAGTCGGTGGACTTTGGGGACTTAAGAGAGAGCGTAGAGCCTAGGCTGCGCCCTCTTCACTTTCACTTACTGGTCTTTTCTTCGGCTTCCGCACGAAACTTGGTCAAAATGCAAAACAAACTTGGCTCGCAAAAAACCGAAGCAGACAGTGGCGCCGCAACAGGGGGGTTTCAGAAAATCACTTTTAAAAAAATATATGCTCTTTGGCAATCACTACAGTAACTAATAATGGTAATAATAAAAAGTTTTAATAAAGCTTACAAATAAACTGAAATCATTTACCTTTTAAGGGACCAATTGCAAGATAGACCAAAAGAGGTACAAAGTTGTAATACAGCTCACAAATAAACTGAAATCATTACCCCTTAAAGGACCCATTGCATGATCGACCAAAGAGGTACAAATTTGGACACCCCCCTGGAAATTCCCCAACGCCTCTGGACCCAAAAACCCACACTGGGGAGTGCAGGCTTTACACAACAAGTGATTTCTTGGAGCCTACACTTGAGGTTCGGCCAGCGACTGTCGGTCTGCGCTGCTCTTTGTTTACGTTCACGTTTACGTTTACGTTGGAGTTAACGTTTGCTTGTTTTTTATGCGGCGCTTTGGCGGCTTTAAGCGGCAGCAGGTCGCTTCAGTCAGTCCAAGACTTTAAGCGCACCAAGTCGCCTGCCGCTCCACTCGAAAAGGCCAAGACTTTCGGAGACCCGCCCATAAAGTAGTGTTACTGTTACGATACATTACCCAACAGTTGGCGGCCATGAATCTGCGGTATATCTGCACTGTGACTCTCGTACCAACGCTCTGCGTGCTGCTGCTGCTACTGCTGGAGTTCGTGGAGGAGGGCCTGGCCCAGAGTTCCGACCCCCTCTTCGAGCTGCCCGTCCAGCTGGTCGGATTCCCCGTCATCGTGCTTTCCGTCCGCCTGTCCCAGTTCGCCAAGAAGTTGGCCTACTCCCTCAGTCCCAGTAAGTTCGCCCAGTTAGCCCATCGCAATGAGCTCTCCATCGAGTGAAAGTTAAAAGGTTTTGTGCATGAATTAAGTGTTTTGCATTGTTTAAATCGGTGCAGGAATTTTATGGAGAAATTTCCCAAATTAGGCAGTCGAATTTTTGGGCATCGTTTCAGTGCAGCGCATAGCTTGAAATAGTTATTAAGGCACTTTAAACACTAAAGTGTGGCAAAATAGCACTATAATTAATAGGCATTTCTTGTGGCCAATTAGCTTGAATGCTTTATAATATGCCAAAATTAAATCCATCATTCGACTGGAACAACTTATCAAATGCTATGCAATCCTGCAATGCAATCCCACAAGGTGTTAAAAAGTAATGATGTTGGAAAATCAAAGGAAATTTTAATAAGTTAACCCTTCGGTGTGTATTTGATTCATTAGATAACACCATTCAAAGGGGCTGTCATTAATTCACATCGATACAGATTAATTTATGTACCCTTCAGTACTTGTAATCCAAAATGCAAATTGGTTTCTTCGCACACTTCACTCTGTCCATTGGATCATATTAACCCATTTTGTAAACACACGTCTATTGCTGATTGTTGTGACTTGTTTCTCATTGCTTTGGACCGTAAAAACCTGATCTGCAAGTGCGATGACAAAAGCGGCTGCCAACTGTCGTGCTCGTCCACTTAGCCGACAAAATGTGAAATGGGGTCAAGGCTGTCTGCAAGCCAGTGGCTTCAGCCATAAAAATTGCCACTCCGCCGAGCCGGAAACCAAATATCTGAGATAGATGTGGACAGCTGAGCCGATAAGCTTTTGGCATGAGTAACCTGGGAAATACCCCGAAACTCCAATAATTATCCACACTTTTCGGACAGCTTTTAAGCTCGGCTGAAGAAAAATGGTGGAGGGGCAAAATCAATTTGCAAAGAGGAGACAAGTAAAAATTGCTTTTAGTTCAATAGCCTTTGGAAATAATGCATAATAGTTTTAATAGTTTTTTTTGTAGCTGATGTACAGCCATGTAGGAAGCAATTCAATTAAAGCTTCGTTGCTTTATGATAACATTTTTTAGTGGTCAAATGAGCAGAGGTAAATCAAATCTTACGTACAAAGTCTCAACAATTTGTTAATTTAATTTATCAATTCAGTTAAGTTGCCTCTATACTGCTAATCATCATTTTTTAAATGAGATTTTATGAGGGAACGTCACCCAAATCAATCAATAAATGTGAATAAACGTGATTTCGAACAGGTACATACAGATCTCGCAGCAGAAGGGATACCGCCCATCCGCTGGCTCTTGATGCCGAGCTGGCCCAGAAGCAGATCCTGGGTGAGTTCGGACCCCAAGCCTGCATCCTGGAGGAGCCGTGCCGTGTCCACGCCTCCCGGTATTCCGGCAGTGCTGATGGCCGATTCCCTGATGGAAAAGCAAAGCCACATGCCGCCTGGTCGGAGGTGCTGAGGTAGGTTACAGATACTTCTTCGTTTAGATACTAGTAACCCAAGAGCTGTTACTAATCAAACGCATACATCTATGGTGGTTGCTAAATATGATAAGTTAACATCCCTATGGCTTAGTGAATGAATGTATACTTATATGCTCGTTTTTTATGGTGTCCTTTCCTAATAATTCAATTGCTTAAGATATTGAATATTCTTGGTGATTATATATTATCACTTTCTGTGCATTCACTTTCCTAAAAATAGAGTTTTTCCTATATGATTCCCTATATGATAGATATTGAATATTCTTGGTGATTATATTTAATCTCTTTCTGTGCATTGACTTTCCTAAAAATAGAGTTTTTCCTATATGATTCCCTATATGATAGATATTGAATATTCTTGGTGATTAAATATAATCTCTTTCTGTGCATTGACTTTCCTAAAAATAGACTTTTTCCTATATGATTCCCTGAACTTATTAATACAATTTTGTAACCTTGACTTCCTTAAAGATGTGATTTTCATCCCACTCATCATCAAACGCAAGAGGGTCCTGGATGTAATCAGCGCTTTCGAGTACTTTTCCCTATTCCCGCTCAAGTGAAGCGGGCTGACTTTATGGCAACTCACTCAGCTCCAACTGGCAGTAACAACTTGAACTTCAGTTGGATTTGGTTCTATTTCTGTTCTGCGATTGCATTTCTTATGGCCACGTTTGCAGTTTGGCGCTGCTGCAGTTGTCATTTGGCAAATGAATGGCTTGTTTTTAGCTAAAGCAAAATGTTTTCCAATCAATTTTTATATCTCCTTGTTGTCGCTGTCTCATCCTGGAGTTCGCAGTTTGCCCATTGTCATTGGCATTGCTAACTCATCTGTGCATAATTTAATGTATCCCAGGGATCCCCAAGTTTAAAAGTGCATGTCACGAGTTGGACTCCGACTTTGGATTTCAATTTGTAAGTTTACATAAATTTAGTTTGGCTTGCCAGTTCCTGATGAGTTGGTTGCCCTCGCAGCTTCCCATCGTCATGGAAATGCTGGAAGACATCAAGTTATTCTTCTCACCCGTCAAAAGTATCCAGATAACCCCTGCTAACTGCTGTGATTCATAATTAATGCGCTTGTCTCTGCAGCGTCTTCCTTGATTTTTTCACTGGTGCTTTTCCGTAATAAAAGAAAGGAAGCTTGGCTGGTCAGTGGTAGTAAAACATTTTTATTATTGCCACCAGTTTTCCATTTTGAAATACTCGCATTTAAGGAGTGCAAGACGAACAAAGGGCAGCTTAAAGAAAAGCTTCTTTGCAGGGCCCTTTGGCCAACGTGTCGTATGCGTAACATTTTCTTGTTTGGCCACTCTCCATTTATTCTATTTAATATTTTGTGTATCGTATCGCAAAAAGGTTTCCACATGCATCTGACACTTTCACACTTAATGTGCAAAAATCTTCACCCTTCATCCCATCACCCAAAATGGACAAAAGTTGTTTGGCCAACGTGTCAAGAGCAAATATTCAAAATTATTTTTGAAATGTTCGTCTGTCTGAGCCCTCACCTTCATTCCTGACCCGTCCTGACCTGAGTCTCAAACTGAGACTGGTTTTGGTTTTTGTTTAGTTTTCGTTGCGCTGCAAATGTAATTGGCATTAGAAGAAGTTCTCTGCAACTCGACGTGTTTTGTAATAATAAAATATGATTAAAGTTTTTGATTAAATTTATGAAAGTGCCCAGTGGGGAATGGCATGCCAATGCCGGCTTTCCACCAGGTTTTGGTCAGTTTTCCACGTCTCATTGTTGTTGCCACATCGCTTTTCCGGAGGGCAGCTGCAGATGTGTTTGTAACTGAGTTGATTAAATTATGCCACTGCAGACGTGTGAAATTTGAACTGTCCATGGGTACATAGGTGTGAAGCAAAGGGTTCTGCGGCAGAATGGGATCTTATCGCATAGTAATCAGAAGGGTCCTGTCCAAAAAGGCCACATATGCAATTTGCTACAGAATGGAAAAGGGAATACATATTTTTGTGCACATTATAAATAACTGAGTTAGTAAGTTTAATGGAGAAGCATGTTAATAAATGTAGTTTACATTGTATTTTCCAAAGCATTCAGTTGAATAAGTTTTAACCTATTAATAGCTATATTATTAGTCTTTCGTTTTACATTTATCTGCAAAAATTGGAACGGTTTGGTATATTTCATATGTACAATAAACATTGATCAGTGAATGTAGAGCCCGGAAAAGTGACTTTAACCAACCGCAACTTTTCTGCCTGCTTGATACACGCGCTTCAACTCATTACCCCCTTATAAGCATCATCCAGTCCCGACCATTATGCAAATAACCCAAGTGAAACCCACTACCCCCACCAAACACACTTTGCATTGTGAAGGAAAACTCTTCCTTTGGGGCTGCTGTTGAAAATTGCTTTTGTTTTTAGTGCAGGGTTGGTGCCTCTGTTGTTATGTGTGCATATTACCCACTTACTTATGAGTAATTATTTCTGTAATCCGCTTTCCGATTCCCCGCCTGGAACATGCAACACGGCTATCCAACGGCCAACAGGAACTACAAAGTGCAATCGGGCGTCAGTGGGATGAAGCAGTGGTATCTGCTCTCCCTGTTCATCGGCGATGCTGTGCGGGATGTGCCGCTCTGCAAGCACCTGGCCAAAAGGATGCCCTGTCCAGGAGTCGGACCTCTGCCGGCGCCCCAGCCACGATGAAGATCTGGTCGGTTCCGCCTCCTCAGGGGCTTGCCGTATCATGGAGGGAGGAGGAGCATCCGGATGGAGTCCCCTTAGTCAGTCGCATCGGACATCTTTGTTAATCATCCATCTCTCGGCACTCACATCCAGCATCCATGTGCTGTCCTTGTACACCCCATCGCCCATTTGTTGTACTTTTAGTTGATTTTAAGGGTTTTAATTTAAACGAACGGCCGCCAACAGACGTAGGCGCTTAGATTTATGAGTAAGCAAATAAATAAACAAGCCAGCTGAAAAAAATCAACCCAAATTTGTGGGTTCCTATGCCGGGACATGTCTGGAGTCCCTCAGTTTTCCGCTCGGACAATGCATTTCCCATTCCCCATTTTCTTGCCTAGTAAAGAAGCGCAAAATTGATACGCCAAAAAGCATGCAGCAAAAAATTCGGTCTGCAACACCACTCGCAATTTGTTGACGCAGGGCATTAAGATGCAGGGGAATGGGCTCCCGAATACCCTGTAAAATGTATGGCTGCAACTGCATATACATTCAGGATAATTGCTAAAGATTTATCTTTAATATATTATATCAAATAGGTAAAAAAGTTGACGGTTGGCATTTTAAATTTCACTTTTAAACTGCAACTGCAACTGCAAGCTTTCTTTTAAAAATAATAATAATAGATAATATTCAGAATCCATCAATTTCATTTAGCTAGGGCGAGTATCATCTAGTCGTCGTTTTCTTTGCTCTATTTGATTTAAAGTTTTCTTTTCGTACACCCCCTTTCCTCTAAGAACAACAGACCAAAAAACAAAGGGGGCTCTAGTCTCCGAGCACAAACCCCAACTTTAAGTCCCCAAGCCTGTGTTTCCCATTTATTAACTCGTTGCATATGGTTTGCATACAAACGGCGGCTGCTGTCGGCGTCCCGAGTGCTGTAAATAAAATAAGACGACGGCAACTGCAGCAACAAATGTCGCCGGGGCTTTCCCTTTTCCGTGGCAACCCTGACAACCCTGGTCGCCTGGGCCGCACAAAAGTATGCTGTACTTTTTGTGCACTTTGGAATTTTCTGTGTGATTTTGCTGCTGACAAACGCTCGACCATTTGGGAAAACGCTGTCGGGTAAAGAAGAATAAATTTATTTCAGGGTGCTCCTAGGGGCTTCCACTAGAATTGCATTGCTACTGACTTCTTTTTCGTACCCTGTATCTCAAGTAGCGTTAATACATGTATAACCAATACTTATATTTAATATAAATAAATAATTTAAAGTGCAAGACACACAAAGACTACCTGTAAATCAATATATTTTTAAGAAATCTGTATATTATATAATAAAAATAAATTTATTCATACTCATATGTCCTTTTGTGTCAATATATATTTAAGAAATCTATATATAATGAGAAGACTCATGTGTGTCCCTTAAATTTTTGACACAACGAGGTATTTTCTATTTCGCCTAAATAATCTGAATAATTTTTTTTTTTCATTTGGCATTTCCATTATTGTCCCGGTTTATCACATTTAATTTTTCAAACGTATTTCTGTTGCCGCTAGATTTATGCGGCAATTCCGCTGGCAGCGGAACTCACTTGTTGAAACAATGGAAAAAGTAGTTCTTATGCATACTCTCGGTTGATTGAATTGTGTTTTATTAATAAATAAGGGTTTAAAGAGTTAAATATTTACAGACTTATGTGACTAAGTGGTGGCCTGCCTCTGTGTGGGTCTTCATAGTTAACGCATAAAAACTTTAACATTTATAAACGCAAATATAGGAAACTTAAACAAATCAAATACAAATCAAAGCTGATCTAGTTAAACTACAAAGAATTGCAACACATCGATTTTGAAAAACTATGTACAATTTCTTATTTTCTAGACCCCTTCTAGAGTTACTAGGTCTAACCAGTTTTAAGATACACCTTGCTGCCATCAGGACGTATATAGTACTCGTTTACGCCCTGAGAGTTGGTAACATAAATATTTTTGTCATCTTCGTACTGGGGCTTTTGCTTCTGACTGCTGCCGTAGCGATTATCGCTGATGTAGTTTGCATTGGGATAGTTGTATTGGGGTCTTTCATTTGTGGGATTCTCAAAGCGAACCGTGTTGCCGGGCATATATTCCCCGTAGTTCAGGGAATTGAAGCCACCCTCCAATCGGTAGTGGTTGTGGGGCCTATGCTCATCGCTCACCACCAAGCGATCCTCCTGGGGCTCCCCAACCTCATTGTATTCATAGGTGGGAGCATAGGTGGGCCGGGTCAGGATCTTGCCCTTGCGAATGTGCTGTTCATAGTGATCGGGGAAGATAACACGAGCTCCCCGCTGCGGAGGAGCTGCATCATCGTAAACTGCATTTGGGGCTGGGCTGTCATCGTTAAAGGACTGTTGGTTATGTTGTGCCTCTCGAATGCGCTGGATCTGAGCCTGCTGCCTCCGGATTTCATCTTCCCGAAGTTGCTCCCTGCGAACCTCCTCTTCTCGGAGCTGTTCCTTGATTTGCTCCTCTCGGAGCAGTTCTTTTTTGATTTGTTGTTCCCTGATTTGCTCCTCTAGGATTCTTGCCTCCCGCAATTCAGCTTCTCGGAACAATTCCTCCTCTCTGATCCTTTCCTCTTCCAGCCTCTGCTCGTCCAGATGCTCGTTGGTGTCCCTGAACACAATCCTCTTCCCTCTGCGCTTATCCACGCCCAAGTCAGATTGTGAGAGGCCTTTGGGAAGGACCACTTTCCATCCATCCGCGAAAGATAACTCCTTGCCACGCCGACCACTTTCGGATGCTGCATCGCGATCTACAGGAAATTTCAGTTTTCGTTGGGCAGCATCCCGGTTAAACTCCCGGATTACATCCGCTGGCGTGGCATCCGGAAATCGAACAGATCCTTCTTCGACTTCTTCCTCGCTCTGAATGTCCTTAAAGTTAACCACCCGACCTTCTCCTTCATCTGCCGGGAACTGGAGCACACCAATGAGTTCTGTGTGCGCCTTGGCAGCTTCCTCCTCTTCATCATCCTGAAACTTCACCAGCTGACTCGTTTGCGTGTCCAGGTTGTCCTCCTCGTCATGGAAGTCGTCATCCAAGTCTATGCTCCTCCTTCTCCTCCTCTGGTACTCGACTCCATTTAGGTATTCGGACAGCACCTGGGTGAAAAAGCTGCCGATTCCGCTGGTTATATCCGTGGAGGGACGTTGAGTGGGACGCGGTGCTGGTCGTGGGGTGGTGTAACTTTGAACTCCACCACCTCCTGTCAAAGCAGAAAGAATGCTAAATAGGGATCCCGAATCGGCTTCAGCTTGCTGGGAGGCCACTGGTTTTTCCTCTGGCTCGCTGAAGAACTTGAAAAATCCGCCGCGATGATTGTTTAAGTAATGAATGATTTCCATCTGTTAATAAAGACGTTTATCATGAGTAATAAATGTCACTCAAAGTAGCAGAGGTGTAAGCAAAGTAGTTCATCTAATTTCTTTGGCTTACAAATTGCCTACTACTTGGCATATAAACGTGGCTTTAGTTACTCACATCATTCTTGGGACACTTTAAGTAGGTCTGAATGCAACTTTTCTCCCCACCACTCAGTCCCAGGAGGGCAGCTCTTCCATAAATGAGAGCAGGTGATGCCACTGGAAATCCAGCGAGGAAGCTGCATTAAAGTAAAGGAAGCTCGTTATTATATCATGGTATTTAAAATCACTTTGAAAATATCATTTTTTAAATACATTTATTAATAATAAGGTTACTGCTTCGATAGGTTTTTCTTATATGAAGTGTTTAGAACAAGCTAACTAAATACAAGCTGTCAGTTCCCATTATTTTCTATTTTCTTGCAGCCCAGCTAGATGTTCAGTTCCATTCAGAAATGATGGCTACCCCAGAATCGGTCGACTTGCAGGAATATTTCACCCCTTAAGCTTCTGCTATAGTTACACAAGTGATGCAACTCCATCTGCCCTTTGGACTCCCTCTAGGCCGCTTATAAAACTTAATTGACTCGAAGCCAAGAATTTGCCAAAGCCAAAACAATTTCAATTTACAATGGGCACTATCGCAACGCCCTATCCATTTCCCATTCTCCGTGGAAAATCCCCACCAGACGTAGCTCATTTAATGGAACAATCAATATGGTCTGCATGGCAGTAATGAAGTCTAATCCCATTTAACGCTGCACCACAGAACCAAGATGCCCCCATCTGCCTCAAAATGCAAATTTAATAATATTTACTCACAACTAAAGCCCCTGCAAAATGGGGACCTGCCCCATTTACACGGCGAACAAATTCCTTCTAAAAATATTATTAAGTGGTCTGTCTTGGGATTATGTAAGCTATATATCTTATATCTAATATATATCGTATATAATATATATCTTATATAAGATATATATCTGGTTTAAAGGAATATATACATAATATACAGTAATATAATATAATATAATATATAATATAATATAATAATATAATATAATATATAATATAATATAATAATATAATATAATATATAATATAATATTATTATATTATTATGGCTTGAAGTAATATAATAAAATTTTGAACAGACATAACACAGTAATTTTAGACATTGCACTTGTTTCTTAAGAAAAGGAAACAAGAATTTGGGAAATACCACCTCATATCATGGGTTATTTTTCTCGGTGCAACCAGTCTATGCGCCCACCCTGCAAAACTCACTTGGTTATGGCCGGGGAGGTAACGAATCCGGGCAATTGGCCACGTAACGTTTGACCGGCAATCATCTGGCAGAGCACCTTGGGCACGCACTGCAAATCGTCGTTGCGAGCGATGTTCTCCAGTGCCCTAATGAGCTGTGTGTTGGGCGGTCGACCTCCTCCCAGGCCACCGGATTGCTGGCCTGCTCCGCCTTGTGTGCCGGCGAAAGCGCCGAGGAGACTGCCTAATGGGCTGGACGCCTGCGATGATGCGGCTGGGGAGTGGGAGTGGGAGCCACCGCCGCCGAGGAGGAGATTCGTAAATTGCGGTGCGTACAGCGAGGCCAGGGTGGCCAGTCCGCCGCCCACTCCGCCGCCGGAGCCACCAGCCGGTGACTGAGTGGCAGGACGATAGTTGAACTGCTGCTGCTGATGCGGCTGCTGGAAGTGCTGGGACTGCGGTGGTGGCGGTGGTATCTCGCCAATTTGGTACTCGTAGTA